TGTTGCAATTGTTGCTATTGTTGGTGCTGTTGTTATTGTTGTTGCTGTTGTCGCAATGTTGCTTCTAAGATGCTGCTGCAATGGACGCTGGCGTCGACGTTACAGATACCTCATTTGTATCGAGATGATTGAGCTGCTGTTGCTCCTGTTCGGCACGCAGCTTGGCTGCCTCTTTCTCCTGCAGCTGTGCCTCCAGCTCCTCAACATTACGAAATATGCGCGCATATTGGAAACGTTGCTGGCACAACAACTTATACTCTTCCGCCTCATTTTCGCAATCCCCAAAGATATCGCCATCCCGCAGCGCCGTATAAACCTGAACGGCTTCCTGCAAAACACACACAAATCATATATATATTTATATATACATATATATGTAAAGCTATACGACAATTACCTCTAATCGCATCTTGCTTAGATTGAAGCTGGTGATCATATTAATGGCTGATTGCTTTTTGCTAGCATCCAGCTCGTAGAGGCCGCGTGCGCCCTCATATAAATGCAATATGGAAGTAGCAAGATGCTTGGCAATGAATTCATCATTCAACTGCTGTGGCGTCTTGACGCCTATCAGTTCTTTGGTCGCCTTATCCAGCACTCGCTGCACATGCTCATTGAATGGCTCCGATTCCTTGGCATTGGCCAACGCTTTCATGAATCGTATGATACAACTATGCAGTACGGGATGCTCAGGATTTAAAGCACGCGCACGCAGTATCGATTGCAGCATGAGGAGCAGCTTATTCTTTCTATAATAAACCTCGAAGGCCAATAAATGCGTGTCGATTCGCTCTTTGGCTAATTGCTGCAGCGGCTTCAAAAACTCAATTGCCTTATTTAGCGGCTCATCGGTACGTTCCAATTTCTCGGGGATTAGCTCATCTAGTTGCGGGGCATCCGGATCGGTTTCCTGATTGGCTTGCTGTTTCGATTTCTGATGCTGCTCACGTTTCACCTGCGCCTGTGCAGCCTGAGCACTCTCCAACTCGGCTTTCTTCTTGGCCTTGCGCTGTTTGCTGCGCAGTTTCTTCAACTCCGATGGCGGCAGGTTCTCTGCAAAAGAAGATCACAATCAACAATGAGAAATTTATAAAAATATATATGTATTTCGTAATTGATATTCTTGCCGCACCGATATCAATTTCCTCAATGGTTGTCTCCGATTTAAGCGGCTTATCGTAGAGTCGCATATAGACTTCAATAGCACACTTGGCCGTCTTAAAGTAAAATGGATGACACCTTAACACATCCTCCAATCGCAATAGTCCAACATAAGCGCGCAATGTCATCTTGCGCATGCAATAGGTATGAAAATCAAATTGATCCTCAATGATCTCGGCAAAATGACGATCGACTTCATGACATTTTTTAAGTGCCTCGCCCCATCGACCCATACGCTGAAAGGCCAAGGCGCATTCCGTCTGGAACCACATGCACTGCATCTCATTCAAATTATCCATGGCCGAGACACCTTCACGCGTGAATTTCGCACAGATTTCCTCAGCCTCGATAACCATATTAGCACGCAGCATATACTTCGCGCACTTCGAGTTGATGTAGCTGCAAAAAGGAAGTTTAAATATATATCATATATCGTATTTGCAATCTATAGTCTACCGATCAGCCGTGTCCATGCTCTGGGCCTCTTCGAGCCAAACGTAAGCCTCAACTGCATCGCCTGCATGCTTGAAGATCCTTCCCTTCGTTATAAGCAATTCAATTAGCGTTGGCGTATGATCAATTGCGACATTGATATATTCCAAAGCACGGTTCGTATCGCGCATATAATCATAGTGCTGAGCGAGAAACAATGCGGTCCACACCAAAGCAGAAGCTGGCTCAACCGGCACCCCAGCATCTGCATCCTCGCGTGAAAAGTGACCGGAACGAGTTAAATTCTCAAAATATTGCAGCGTTAACGATTCAATGATATTAGCCTTTTCCGGCTGCTGATGCAGCGAACGTACATTGACAAACAATGGAGGAATACCCTTCCGCAGGCCACGTCGCAGATATTCATCAGCCACAAGGCGAAACTCTTCGCCGCTGGCAATGTCTAAAGGCAGGCGACGTGGACAGAGCGCACGAGGGTATTGTTGTTGAAATTCGCGATAAACAGCAACAATATCGCTTGGGGAGCTAACACATCGAGCCGTCATGTATTGTTCATAGTAGAGGACATTCTCGGGATTCCGTTGGATCAGGGCTTCAAATATGGGCACCGCTTTGTCCTCTTGCTTCAGCTTAATATACAAATCGCCAAGAGTTTCGCGCACAGCCAACTTGTCCACAATTTGTGGCTCAAATTTTTGCAAATGATCAAGCGCCTGCTGCAATTGCGACGATTCGATGAGTATCTGATTCTGATAGAGCAACAGCTCCGACTGGCGATAATCGTGGGCGTCCTTAAAAAAGAGAAACAAAGAGAGTAGGAGAAGGAGAGAGAGAGAGAAAGAGAGAGATTAACAACAATATTTAGTTAAATTACATTCACACTTACAATTGATGTCTGCGACTGGCTAAACGTCTCGAGTATATTATTTGCCATCTTATAATCGCCCAGCAGATGATAGCTCATCGCAAAGCCGATCCATGAGGCATGCTGCGATGGTCGCAGCGTGAATAAATGATGACGCGTCTCCTTATAGCCCTCCAAGTCCCGCATTTGTATTTGCAACAGCGATAGATCTTTCAATATTTGCAAATTATCCTTTTCCCATTTGAGAGCATTGCGATAGCATTTGATTGCCTCGTCATACTTTTTGTCGCTCCGTTGCAGCAGGCCATAGACATGCCAACAAACATGAGAACGCAAATCATTCCTTAGGCCCAATCGAACATACTTATACGCCTCATCCCGTCGACCAAGTCCATTCAGTGTTAAACCCTTCATAGCCAGCGTTTCGCCGTGTTCCGTGAACTTGGGATTTGATAGAATTTGCTTGGCCAGCTTGAGGCCATTTTTGTACTGCTTCATTTCGTAACATTTCTGCATAGCAAACAAGCAATAGTATAGTAGTTAATGTAAATATATATATTCATAAGATATCTAAACTAACATTGAAATGCATTTAAATAAAGAACTTTTCATACTTTTGCTTATTTGCTTTCTTTCAAAAGCCCGCCCCATTTTTTGAGGTTATGCTGCGAACTACGTGCCAAAACAATGCAAAAAAAAGAGGCAGTTACAGTTTTTTGCGGTGGCAGCACTTTTCCAATACAGTTACTACAATTAACAAATCCAATTGGAAATATTTTTATCAGTTTTGCTCTCATTGCTTGTGTTTTCTTTGTAATACCAAAAATAGGCGCAACGAAAAAGCACATGATAAACTGTGTGTGTGCGTGCGTGCATATGTATGAGTGCATGTGCGCGTGTATGAGAGCCGCAATTGGAATTGTAGCCGGCGATTTCGCAGCGTATATATGTATGTATATTCTTACACATATGCATATTTATGCATATAGATGTATATATATTGAGCTTACCAGTAATTTACGGAAGAGTGCAGCCTCCTTGGGCGGCAGTGGATCGCTGGAAGGCATCTTCGACGTTTTGCTGCGCTGCTTCTTCTTCAGCTGCTAGTTTTGCACCGGATTAAAAATGCTTCCGTTTCGCTATTTGATGAAGGGTAGAGGTATTCTATTATTGTTGAAATGTTACAGCGTGTGTATATTAAATTTTTTTTGCCCAGGCACACGCACAAAAAAAAAATAACACACACACACGGCGTTTAAAAATATATATTTATAAAATTTATATGGGTAAAATCCACCGCGACCACGAGCAAAATTTCGTCTTGACGGTGATACAGCAAACATCAACGCAATATACACATGCACATCATGTGTTTGCGCATCAATTTGAATGGCAAATGTAGGCGATTCGATTTATCATATTTTGCACATGATTTTCTTTTGAACAAACGCCGTGTGAAGGATGCACATTAGTCCTGTTGTTAAAAAAAAAAATAACAATAATAATATACTTACATTTCAATAAATCTAAGGCTCAAGCTTTGAAGTTTTAATTGGTTTCTGTCGGTCCGCATAGGCACAAGAATCACAGCTGTGCAACACCCTCCAATTAGCAAGAAGAAGCAACAACAGCGGTCTACCCAATTGTGTTATATAAAACGTTTGATTTATTACTTAAAATGAATGTAATGCGTTTGAAGGGTATTGTCAGTATATATATCTAAGCCATAAACGATGCCACGAACGTTGTTTTGCTACATTTAAAACGAGACTTCACCAAAATTGATATTAAATATGCTCACCAAAAAACTGACATTCAAACAATATATAGGAACAACAGCTGTCAATGCGAACGTACATTATCGATAAGTTAGATAAAGGGATTGCTTATATCGATATAAGCAACTTGTGAGCTGTTTCAAACAATTGGGAAGAAGATAATATGAATTCCCTGGCCAAGCTCGGTAGCTACGTTTGCCAAAGTGTGCAAATCGCTGGCTGTGGCGTAAGTCCTAACAAATATACCAACAAATTATATGAGTTAACTTTTGTCTCTACTCCAGTTGCAGCAAGTGCGCACAAAATATGCCGACTGGCGTATGATACGCGATGTCAAACGTCGCAAATGTGTCAGCGAACATGCCAAGGACCGTTTGCGTGTAAACTCGCTACGGAAGAATGATATATTGCCCATTGAGCTCCGCGAAGTGGCGGATGCTGAGATTGCCGCATTTCCAAGGGATTCGTCGTTGGTTCGCGTGCGAGAACGTTGTGCACTTACGTCACGGCCGCGCGGCGTAGTCCACAAATATCGACTTAGCCGCATTGTATGGCGACATCTGGCCGACTATAATAAGCTATCAGGTGTGCAGCGTGCCATGTGGTAACATTTAGAGATACTTTTATTTAGCATTGCTTAAAGCTAGACAAATAAAAAAAAATAAACCAAAAATAAAAGCAAGTGTAATTGAATAGTCCCCCACAGCTGTTAGCCTAAATATCGATAGAAAATATTACCGCTCGTCTATAACGATTTACCATCACTATTTGTTTACCTCTGAAAATGAGCTGCAGATCAAGCAAAACAGTCAAAAAACGCCATAATTCCACACGTCAGCCGCTTAATTTAGTGGATTTCAGTTTTTTAGATCACAAATCAACATTAAGTAATCACCTGTTCACCAAGAACACCAGACACCCGGTCAGCCTCGTGGAGAATGAGTCAGATTTCTGGCAGTTCGTCAACAAATATGAATCCATGCTGCGTAACATGGGGCAGCCGGTGCTGCCTTTCCTGCTCCATGATTCCGAGCATCAGCAGCCGCACCCATATCATAAGAGCAAGCATCTGTCGCTACAGCTAGATGATGATCAGGTTAAAGATCACGGCATTGAGGAGCTGCAAACACAATTCCAACAGCTGCTGCTCATATATTTGGACTTTAAGCAAAAGGAGAAGTTTAATCGTATAAAGAAACTGAGAGAAGCTCAAAAGGCACTACCTATTGCACGTTTCAAGCAGGACTTGCGTAGCTCGCTAGAGACGAGCCGTGTGCTCATTGTGGCCGGTGACACAGGCTGTGGAAAAAGTACGCAAGTGCCCCAATATCTCTACGAATTTGGCTACCGCAGCATAGGTACGTCCAACGAGCAAGCTAATATCTTTAGCTAATCCTAGTCCTTCTCTAATCCTCTGCAGCTTGCACACAGCCACGTCGCTTGGCCTGCGTCTCGCTTTCAAAGAGAGTAGCCCACGAACTACTGGACGACTATGGCAGCAAGGTGGGCTTTCAGATACGCTTTGAACGGAATCGAACACAGCAAACGCATATTCTGTTCATAACCGAGGGATTGCTCTTACGGCAGCTGGCAATGGCAGACAATTTGGAACAGTACGATGTGCTCATACTGGATGAGATACACGAACGGAATCTCTTTGGTGACTTTCTGCTGGGCGTAACGAAATGTTTGCTGCGTGCCAAGCCGCAACTAAAAGTGATTCTAATGTCGGCAACGATCAATGTTGAGCTATTCCATGGCTACTTCAAGGAGGAGGGCGCACGCCTGCTGCAAGTGCCTGGTCGCTTGTTTCCCATCAAGCTAAAGTATATGCCGCCTCCGGCGCTGGAATTGAAAGCAGGACAGGCCACAGCTGGGAGCAAACGTGAAAAGAGCTCTCGAATTGATCCGGCCCCATTTATCCAGGTGATCAGCCTCATTGATCAACAATATCCAAGTAAGAAGAGTTTTCACTTACAGCCAATGCAAGTCTAATGAGTCTTACTTTTCCAGTCAGCGAACGTGGTGATGTTTTGATATTTGTCAGCGGCGTCAATGAAATCGATGCCATTTGCGAGGCTGTCAAGGAATATGCAAAGGAGCAGACCCAATGGCTGCTGCTGCCATTGCACAGCGGCTTAGCTTTAGCAGAACAAGATAAAGTCTTCGATTATGCGCCCGAAGGCATGCGTAAGTGCATCGTCTCTACGAACATAGCTGAGACATCGCTGACTGTCGATGGCGTTCGCTTTGTCATCGACTCTGGTAAGGTGAAGGAGATGAGCTACGATGCCAGCTGCAAGGGGCAGCGTCTCAAAGAGTTTTGGGTATCCAAATCCTCAGCGGAGCAGCGCAAAGGTCGTGCTGGACGCACAGGACCAGGCGTTAGTAACTATAGAAGCATATGCCACATGCCCCATGCATCACAAGCCAATTGTTGACTGACTCTGTCTCTTTCAGGTCTGCTTTAGGCTCTACACACAACAGCAATTCGATGCGTTTGAGGCATATCCTTTGCCAGAGATCTATCGCGTGCCCTTAGACACAATGCTGTTGCAAATGGTCTCCATGGGCTTGCCGGATGTGCGCGCCTTTCCTTTTATAGAAGCCCCCGATGTGGAGCGCATAGAGCAAACCATTCTCTCACTCAAGCAGCATGTAAGTTAGAAGCTGCTCAGCTGTTGAGAGCCAAGCTCTAATCCCAGATCTCTCTCTCTCTCTTTCTTGCTCTTTCGGAGCAGTGCGCGTTGAGTGTAGAGGAGAAAATCACGCCACTGGGCAGCTCGTTGGCGCATTTGCCCGTTGAGCTGTCTATTGGCAAAATGTTGCTCATGGGCTGCGTATTTCCAGAGCTCGAACAGTTGCTTACGTTGGCTGCCATGCTGAGCGTACAAAATCCGTTGACAACGCGCGCGCACACCGACCAACGTTGCGAACGTGAGCGTCAGCCGTACGAAACCGATCAAGGAGATCTATTCACGCTGTTGCGTGCGTTTCACCAATGGCTGCAGCTGAAGATGTCCAGGGAGAGCACCAGGAAATGGTGCCAAAAGCTTGGCATTGAGGAGCAGCGCTTCTATGAGCTTTGCAAGCTGCGTCAGCAATTCCAGCGTATACTTGAAAGTTGTCGCATGGTGACGCCCAAAAATGAGCAACTGGATAGCAAGGAACGTGCGCGTCGCCATGGGGAATTGCGTCAGCTGAAGGCGCTGAAACGTCGTCAGCGTTACGAACAGCCCAGGCAGCGTAAGCTGCTCAAGCGCCAGCATCATGAAGCGGAACAGGAGGACGACGAAGAGCTGGGCGGGGATATGCGCGATGTAGACTTTCGACTGCGTCATGATCATCGACAGCTAACTCTGCTCTCACGTTCCTCCCACTTGGAAAGCCATCGCGATGTTGTTCTGCTGAAGCTGCTCCTGGTGAGCGGCTTTTATCCACAGCTGGCGATTGCGGATGAGTTTAACTATTGCAAAGGCGCCAGCCAGCAGTTCTTTCACACCCAGGTCAAACCATTTCTCTCCCTGCACCCAAATGCATACTTTGCCAAGAACTTTGAGCTGTTAAAGCTCGCAGAAAGCGATCTACAGGAGAAGCCGTTCTACTATACGCCCAAGCAGCCGCTTAGCGAACGACATCAGTTGCTCTGCTATCAGTAAGATCGAAAAACTCGAAATGTAATGTGTGAATAATCGTGTTATCGTCTCCGCAGATCTTTATTGGAAACAGCCAAGCCATATTTGATGAACTGCATCCGTTTGCCTGCAGCTCAAACATTGCTGCTCTTTGGCTATGCCATCGATACGAATGTGGGCCTCTCCCGCATCGTTTGCGATGGCTGGCTGAGCTTGGATTTTCCACAGCCAGGCAGCGGGCTGCAGCTGCTGAGCAAGGCCATCGAGCTAAGAAGACGCTGGAGCAGTCGACTCTACGACAAGCTCAACGGTGCGTAACTGCCGAATCGTCCATGCCTCATGCAACTAAACCAATTCTTTTGCAGAGCTCAACAGCACTGATTCAAGCTCCGGTGCTGCTGCTGCTGATCTGTTCGCTGGCAGCGATTCGCTCTGGTCCGATCTGCTAGACTATATGAGTCTAGATGTCGCCTACAGCATTAAGCGCCTGCTACCTGCCGACCAGAAGACGCTCTACACACGCTCTCCTCCATCTTATCGACTCTCCTCCCTCTCATCGAATCCCTTTGCCGCCGACTTTCCGCTGAGCGAGAACGAGGAGAAGGGCGGCCTCAACATCTCTGAGCATGTGGTCTATGGCTGCTTGGCAGAGCTGCCCTGGACGTTAGCCATGGAGGCGGCACTTCAAGCGCAGCCTTGGCAGTGTCCCCGCTGTGATTACGAGCTGGAGCAGTTCGATGTGTTGGATCAGCTGCTGCATCGCTCACAGTGCAAGACAGAGCAACGAAAACGTGTGCCAAACGACCGGGAAGCGACTGTGGTGCCCTCCAGCAGCTCACGTGGTGGCAGCGACCATTATTGCGAGTGCTGTGGACGCCATCTAAACTTATCGAAGGTCGATATACTGCGTCATCGTCGCAGCTGCATGAAAAACAAGTGATTCCTTAAACTAAGCATGCCTATTTATACGAGCCAGCAGTGTAAACTCAGTGTCATTTAGTGCATGGTTGTGCAGGAGAGACGCAAACCAATTCAATTCACCTAACATTGTTAATTGTAATTTCTGATATTGTTAAAATAAACAAAGTAACTTAGTTTTTAAACAATAATGCCTAATAATATACAAGCACTGCATAATAGAATTGGTTAAAGCAAGTTTTAGTCAAGATTCAAACCAACAACTTTTGCATCGATTGGTGCACGCCTTAGTCAAGATACACACCAATAGAGGTTTAACTGCAGCCGCGTATAGTGCAGGCGCATATATTGAGACACCTTCATTGTTGTTGCTAATAAATAAGTTCAAATTTCTGAGTTATTGAAAATAGAGGAAAAAAACAATTGAAGTACGTGGTATTTGAGATTTAATGAATTTTATAGGTACACATATGCTGCCGTCTCTCTCTCTCTCTTTCCCTATTAGATTTCTTTAGTTTATTTTGTTAGACATTTAAGAAAAGTGAATAAATTGTATTTAAATCAATTTCTGAATAACAAAACAGACTTTTTCCTTTATTACACACATACTTAAGTAATAGGAATTTGAATAGAAATCGTTACATTTGTGTTTTTCTTGAAGAAAGATCACTTTATCTAACTCTCTCTCGCTCGCTCGCTCTCTCTCTCTCTCTCTCTGTCGTGCTCTCTTTTGCTTTGTCTCTTTTTTGCTTCTTGAAGAGGTTTAATCTTATATTATAGAGTATTCTCTTATATTATTGTGTTTGATTTTCAATAACAAATTTTTAGTATTTTTATTTCAATTTCAATTCTCGATTTTCATTTTCTATTTTTTTTTTAGTTTGTGCTTAGCAAATCGTGCTGATATATACACAACTACATATATAATATATATAGTAAAATTAATATATAAATATACAATTCTCGCGCTCTATTTATAATACTAATGTCTATTCATAGCAGTCGAAAGGAGCCGTCCTTGCTCCAGAATCATCAAAATAAAATCAGCAAATTGAAAACGTGAGAAATAAAAAAATGGAAAATTTAGAATTTGTTACGTGAACCGAAGTGGATTATGATGTTGAATGAAAACCAACTAACAGAAAACAAAATAAAAACAAATATAACAAAATTCTATTTAGAGGATTCTTCGTTTAGTCTTATTCCATTCAAGTTATAGTCCTATTTAGGGCATGATGTATTCCAAATCGAATTTGGCGCCAATGCGCGGAACTCGCGGCTTCCAAACCACCTTTGGCTGTGGAATAAACGTGAAGAGTAGATATACAAATGAGTACGAATATGAATATGAATATATATATATAATCATATATATATGTATAGATGTAGATATATTACCTTTGTGGGAACTGTTTCCTCTGCTTGGGCAGAGGCTGCACTTGTGCTGGCTTCTGTGTTTGAAGGCTAGGAGCACAAAGAGAGAGAGAGGTAGAGGGTGGAAGAGAAGGAGAGGGAGAGAGGGAGAGAGAGAGAGAGAGAGAGAGAGAGAGAGAGAGAGAGAGAGAGAGAAAGAAAGGGAGAGAAAAGGTAATATTGATATTATATTTTCCACTCATTTTCAATTCCATCAACAGATATGCCATAAAAAGCCTCAATTTGCCAAGAAAACTTATCTTTTAATAGAATATCGTGCCATACAGATCAAAGTTTTAAGCTCACTTTCATTTAAGCACATTTCGTCCATATTTCACATAATTAAGCGGAATTTATAAAAACGTTTTCCAACTTAATGCGTCTAAATTAAAAACTTTAATTTGAGCTCTAGCAATTGAAATTCTGCCTTGTCAGTCAATCAATAGGTCAGTCCATAAATTTCAATTAAATTGTATATGTATTTACCGTTATTTTGAGAGTTCTCATTAGCTCCGAACTCGCCTCATCGCCCGTTTGCTGTGCTGCTGAAGCTGCAGCTGCATCTATTGAGCTGCTCGCCTGCTGCAGTCCGTGCTGAGCATCGACAGCGACGCAGCTGTTGACCGTTTCCAATTTATCCTGCAAGCGGGAAGAAGTGGAGTGTTAGTCAATCACGCACTCATCAGTCAGTCAATCAATAATAAATGAACTTGAGCTCAGCAATTGCATTGTTTCGTACAGTCAGGCGTTCGTCAATCAACTCAGTCAATGATTGCTAAATGAATGATGCGCACTAACAATCAATCAGTCGATCAATTGGTCTGGAAGCTGCTCTTATTATTGTACAGCTATCTGCTTACTTTAGATATGATGCCTTCGAGACTGTTTTGATTCAATCAAATGACTGAAGCTTCCTTAAAGTGTTTCAATTGATAAATAGCGCTTTACTTATGTATATAATATAGGTAATTTACTCAAGATGTATGCAACTTTATCACCAATCAGTCAGTTCAGTCAATCGATCAGCCGACTACAAGCTACATTTTGACATCAATCAGTACAGATTCATTTAAATATATATATATATATGTAGGTTGTCTTGCTAATCAATCAAAATAAACAACCAAATGATTGATGAAGAGATTGATCTATGCTGCTCGCAATCAGCTTGTACAAGTGTGATATTTGTTCATATGTCCCACTATCAGTCACTCAATCATTGGGCTTTCAAGCAATCAATCAGTAAACTTGCTAAATGATTGATCCGTCATACCATTGGCTGCTCGCATTGGACTTGACCTTGAGCCTGGCCACCACCTGGACGTTGCGATTTCTTGGGCCGATAGGCCTGTATGGGTACAAAGTCCTGGATGGAGGTGTATGTGCGTCGTTGGCTCGAATTTCCATAGAAGTTGCCATCAGATTGCCGATTGTTGTTGCTGCTGTTGTTGCTACTACTGCTATTGTTGCTGTAGTTGTTGTTGTTGGGATAGAAGTTCGCAGTGCTGCTGCTGTTGCTGTTGTAGCGTGCGTAGCCCTTGTTGTAGCTGCCATTGGATGGCGGAGGTGGCATGAAAAGTGCTGGCATTGGCAGCTGTTGTGGTAGCTGTTGGTGTGGCAGCTGCATAGCCAGCTGAGGTGTTGGTCTAATTGCGTGCACAGTTGTGTTGGCAAGTGCTTGGGGGTGTTGTTGCTGTTGCTGTTGCTGTTGTTGTTGTTGCTGTTGTTGTTGTTGTGGCGCCTGCATTGCTGGCTGTGGCTGCGGCCTCAGCAGCTGCGGTCGCATTACGTTTGGCGCTGCTGACAAATCCTGTTGCGCTGGTTGCCCACGCTTGTCCCATTGCTGCGAGGCAATTAGCTCCGATTGCAACTTGGCTTGCTGTTGGGCTTCGCGTTGCCAGAAGAGTGGCGGTTGGGGCAATTTCTGTAATAGAGAGTTTCATTATTATAATAGATCTATGAAACAGCTGTGTCTAAATATAGCTAAAGCTGCAGTTCCCATCACACAGAAGAAGCAGAACTTTAACCGACTCTTTATCTAACAAATAGCTTACAGGCATTTGACTAGGCAGCGGCGCTTGAGGCATTAGCAGCGGCTGTGTATTGGACGGAACATTGGTTGACTGTGTTTGAGTTGGTAACTGCGATTGCATTTGAAATGCTAATTGATGTTGCTGTTGTTGCTGTTGCTGCTGTTGTTGTTGTTGCTGCAGCTGCTGCTTTTGCTGAGGCGCTGGCTTCAGGCCTAGCAACAGCTTCAGCGCCTGCGTTTGATCATGTGGCGTGGCAGAGCCGCCTTTGTTGCGCGTTTGTTCTTGCAGTTGCTGTTGCTGTTGTTGCTGTTGTTGTTGCTGTTGTTGTTGTTCTTGTTGTTGTTGTTGTTCGAGTTGACTAGCATGCAAAGGCGTCTGCTTGCACATGGTGCGCCAATTCTGCAAGGGCAACGGATCTTTCTTGTTCGCACAGCTGGTAGATGCTGCCTCTTGATCGGCAACCGTAGCTGCTGCAGCCGCAGCAGCAGCTGCTGAGGTGGAGGCTACACTTGATCCAGATGCTGAGCTCATGGCAGGCGCATCACTGGGCAAAAAGAATTCATCCGCGATGCGCGTGTTCATGGTAATTGCATTATATTTGCTGCTCGCTGCTGTGACAAAACGTTGCTGTTGCTGTTGTTCGCGCCAATCGCGACGCATTGCTTCCGTGCGGCTCTTCAAATGGTGCGTGGGCTGATTGAGAGGAGACGATGTTGCTGCTGTTGAAGCTGCTGTTTGCTTTGGCTGCTGCTTCTCGTTGTTGTCTGAAATAGGAAACAGTAAAATTTAGCAACCCTTGCTTTTTACAACTATGTCAAAGCTAACCAGATGCGTTGATGATGACCAAGGCACTCTCCGGCACTTTGTAGACCCGTTCGTCAGCTATGCCGTGTATATCCCCACAATTGGCTACTGGCCTATCGAAGAGCAACTCACAGAACGTTTCCACTGCATTCAGACACTCCAAACGCACTGGATTCGGATCCGTTACCGGGTGTATGCCAATAACAATGCCTGTGATGCCAACGGGCACCATATAGATGGTGCGAACGACCACAACACGATCGAAGAGGCGCACTGCACCCGGTTTGCGATAGACATCGGGCAGCGTGACATTTGGTTTGATCAGCAAATGTGGCTTCACCTGCAGCTTGACATTCTTGACGGGCAGTAGGCGCAACTCTTCAACAGCCTCGATTAGTAGCTCAACGGTTTCCTTGCAAACAGTGCGGGATCCACACGTTATGCGATCGACTTTCATGTGGGGCTGTTGGCGCACCCAATTGGCCACATCTTCAATATGATGCTGACCCATTTCATTGGGAAAGATGTCCTCCTCGTAGACGAATTCCCCGCGATCGCTGCTGCTGGAGAAGTAGTCAACAATGGCCGGATAACATTCAATATAGCTGTGCATGAGATCGACCGCCAACGAGGAGTAGAACCATTGATTGTTCAAGCGACGGCAATAGCCGGCGCGCTCCTCATTCAAACGTGGGTACTTTAGCTGCAGACCAATATTATGTTTGGACACGTTCTCCATTTTTTCACGTCGTGGCCCAAGCACCACCCAAACGGTGCCCGTAAGACGTCCCAGGCATTTGCTGCTCACATTCAATTCCCGGCATACTTTGTACGAGTTCATATAGTCACGATCCCGTTGCTCTTGCAACCGGCGTGCGGCCATTAGCTGCGGCTCTGGGCCCACACGAATGTTAACTGTAAATTATATGCAAGTTAGTTAATTAACTGACAACATACCGTTTGATATTCGTCCACCATTTTGCAAACTCTAGCTGTGATCTCTGGGCAAAGAAAGAGACAAGAAATCACTTATCGTTTCCATTTTCTTAATCTCGCTTTCACTTAACCAATGAGTTTACTCAATAAAGGCTCTTAGAAAATCATGTGTAATAGAAAGAGACAAACATAGCAACTTTTTGACTGCTTCCTAGCTGGCAATGTCTAGGCTACATACATGTATACACTCATTTACCATATGCACATATACACATACAGACACACAAAGAAAAGTACACATATACAAACATATGTAAGCTTGAATACATACACATACACATCATACATATATGCTTGCATACATATACCTATACCCATACATATGTACACACAACGCCCATTCGGCAATCTGAGCGTAGTTGTTTGATCTTGATACTCTGCCTGTCTCTTTTTGTCGCACGCCATATGCATAGGATGTGCAAAAGATCAAAATGGTGGACGAAAGCAAAATGGTGTCTAAAAAGCATTGGCCATTGGCATTCCATCTTTGGTATCTTTGCAGTATTAAATACAATATTCATATAACGGTACACAACGGTAAATAACAAATATTGAAAATTAACTTTGCACATACCCTGCACACGTCCGCAACTATAAACGAGCATCGGATCCAGGACAGTACCCTCGCTGCCGGCATACGGATTGCCAATAAAGAAAACCGTGCTGCCCGTTGGAAAAAGCTGCTCAATTTTATTGAACTGAGCGTGCATATTGTCGCGCACCTTGAGGTCGGTGACCACGCCCTGCGCTGGATACGGTGTTAGGGTGCTGTTCCACGAGTCCTTCATGAAGACAGTGCCACGCTGGCCAAATTCCACCGCGCTGCCAGCATAGGTACGTATATAAAGGAGAATATCGTAGCTGGGAAACTTGATGGCCATGCGGCTGTTAAAACTGTAAATGCAAGTGGAAAAGAGAGGCTAGAAACTGATGAGAATTTGGTTTTGCTTGCAACCACTCAACTGTTCCTCTAGCGACTTGCAGTCCGAGTCGAAGCGTCGGGGCTCATTGGATCGAGTTCCATCGCGATCAACCACTTGATCGCGCGATGCTATGCTCTCCACCTTGGCTTTGATCAAATGCGGCCAACCGATGTGCACCACCTGTCCCAAATGCTGAGCAGCCACTGAGTTGAGCTCATCCTGTGCTTCACGCCTGCGAGGCAATAAAACCATGCTTTGATTACGACTCGGCTGCTCGAAGACCTTGACACGATCGTGACGTAACTCAAACTGCAAGATTGGAATAGAAAAAGAGAGAGAAAGGAAAGGTCACTACAAGTTACACCATTTCGATGGTTCCTAGCTTACATCAAATTCCAAATGTTTCATCGTTGGAAAGCCTGGAAAGAAGACGTGACGTGAGGCATTTGCCAGCTCCACGCAAACAGTTTTTGGCAAATTGAGGGCAATTTCATGTGCCCAACGAGTCACCTCCGTGCAGAAGACATGCTGCAGGGATTTGAGTGGAGCCAAGCCCTTCAGAGGACCCTGCGACTTGTCGCTGTAATCGTATTGGTACATCGGTCCATGACGATTCCTATCCCGCTCCTCGCTACTCAGCAGCGGCTCACAATCGGCCATGGCACTCAGCAGACGTTTCTCTTCGATGAAGGGTATCAGCACCACAGCCTCCCAGTCGTGCTTTTTGCCATTTAGATCGCTCTCAAATTCCGTGGGATAAAACTCAGCCAATGGACTAGTCGGCTTCAGCATCAAATCGTGATAGGCCACTGGCAGGAGATTAACACTAGCCGCTGGCAGCACAGCAAGTAGCTGTAAATGATAGAATTGATCAGAATTGTATACCCTATAAGCGCTTAAAATCATATGAAGAGCGTGGGCATATTGGCTTGACAGTGATTGAGACCTTGAAAAGTCAGCTTCTTGATAAGTTGAATAATTGAATACAATATGTTTATAAATATAGCCTGTAAGCTTTCGAAGTGCAATGATAAGATGGGTTCCTCTACTTTAGATATCAGTGTGATATGCTCGACAAACAGGGCACCTACTAGTCGAGCAATTGCAATTAGTTTGAATAAAAAAAATTACCTGTTGGAAGGGCAAAAATGGTTTGCCCAGCTCAAAGTTGACTTTGGTATCCTGAATGTGGTTCAGATCGCTGATGAAGGGCGCATAATGATAGGGATAATACCAGTCCCAGCTCTGAACGCCCCGATAATAATAATCGAGTACCCATTGCACGGCACTGACATAATGATAGCTCAGGTCTCTGATCAAGTCCTCATGCATCTCGTTCTTGAACTTGTTCCGATAATAATTGCGCTTATAGTTCTGGAATTCGTTACGCAGCACTGCTTGCTCATCGTCCGGATCCACATCATCGTCATCATCGTAGAGCTGCATAGGAGCAATTTGAAAATTTGAATTTTATAAGTGCCATTTTCATATTTGAACGATGGCTTCAATAATCGATTCTTATTAGTTTCCAGTTCCCCTCCAAGGTATTCGAATATCAAATCAACAGTTGCTGGAAATGTTTCCAATTGGAAATTGCATTCTCTCCCAGCCAATGCAAACCAAAGAAAACATAATGATGTTTGCTCTCTCGCGCACATTGCCCGGGCGAGCAGCCAATGCAAAAGCTTAACTGGAAATCTATTTCGACAGATGCACACCCACTCACCCGCATACAGGCACTTGCAATGATTGAAAGCTCTCATACACAATTCAAATGCAAAAGCTTTCGCTCTCGCACGCTCGCACGCACTTGGTCAATGCGCTCAGTCGAAATCGAAAGAGGGAAAATTTACCATTGAAATGGGAAATTCGATTGGAAGTTAATTTCCTGCTACATGCAATGAAATTATGCAGGGGAACTGGTTTGAACTTTTTGCAGTTGAACTGTTAAGGGTAATTATATGGGAAATTTATGTTGCGGAAACTATGTACCGTAAACGAAGGACTTGGTCCAATTAAATGAATTTGAGATATTTTCAAGCAATTAATTTAAATAATAAAAAGTCAAATTATAAGACAAATTGAAAAAGGGAAATTAATTTGCGATATATTCAATAAAAACAGTAAATTGAAATAGATGTGGGAGATTAGAAGGCATTATTGGTCATATTATGAAGGGAAATTAATTTGGGATATTTGATTTACCTTCATGCTCTCATCAATGAGTGCTGCCAGATCATCATTATAGCCTTCAGCATTGCCATTCTTAATCTCCTCAACATCCACATCGAATGCCTCTGTCTTGGCATTCATATATTTCAGATCGTCGCTGTGCTCCTCGAATAGCTGCAGCTCCACTTCGCTCAGAGCGTTCAGAAACTGTTGCAATCGATCCAAATTCAATTTGCCATGCTCATTGATATTGCCGCCTAGCTGTTTGTAGATCCGAATATAGGTTTTATAGAGCAAGGGCAGTGCATTCGACGATATGTGTAGGCACGGCAAATGTGGTATGAAATCATTGCCCACCATGAAACCCATCAGCACCCAGTCATCGATCAGTTGAGCGACATCCAACTTTTGCTCCGGTGTCGACAGCTCATGGAACTCCAATTCCAGATATTCGCGCAACAATCCCAAATGGAGTAGAAAGAAACGAGTCTCCTCCACGGATGTACGTTTAACGTTTTTACCAAATTTCACCTCCTCGCGCAACACAACGAAATGCAGCTCGTGGGTGCAGAGTCCAAGGATAATCAAATCGGCATCCAAGCCGTAGAGGCAGTGCCTCGTATTGGGATCGAAGTTAGGCTGAGCTTTCATGTAGCGTATATAGTCCATTATTTTGTGCTCTCCCTCGCCGGGCGTCTCCTGGCCACTGAGTATAACTCGGCACTTTTGCCAGAGCGGATCCTGCGAGATTTTCGTGCGTAGAAAACAACGTAAGCCGGCTTGCAGTCGCACCATAAACTCTGTGCCCGGCGTTATACAATTGCTATCAAATCGTTCGTGTTCACGCTTTTCGCCACGCAACAGCGCCTTTGCCTCCAGTTGCTCCGCTTCGCGGGCCGAGCGAAAGCGTCGGCTGCGCTGTTGATTCATTTTGGCACGTGGTGCAACGCCATCTACAGCTAGAAAAAACAACTTCTGCGGCTTGATCAAATAGAAGAGCTTGTCAATATAGTTATAGATGTCCTGAAAGATTTGCGCTTCCTCCAAATGGAAATGGATATTATTATCATCCGGATGCGAGCAATTGTGGACTATGCCGTTCATGTCCAGGTAGAGATTGTCAAATTCGGGTATCTAAATGAGAGAACGGGGTTGCAGTGACCTCCCTTTGCTATCCTCCACATATACATATACCATACATATATATACATACATATATGTATAAGAGCGAGTGTGAGTGCATATGTATGTATGTATATACTTACGCTATGCTCACGCGCCAATTCACTGAGGCAGGGATAGCGTTCGCTGATATAACGAAAAAACTTTGGTACACCCATCTTTGCTTCTGTCTATATTCCTCAGCTCTTGAATTTGTGTAACGTTTATAATTGTGTCCTTGCCACGTCTTTTGCAACAACAATGACAACAAATTGTCTCTTTCTTCTGTCTGGTGCTGCACAGAAAATTTCGACTTGTTTGTATGCAGCGTGACTGCAATCTGAATGCGCCTAAATGCCCATTACTGACTTACTAAATACCAACATAAAATACTGTGCCTGTACAAAAATACCTAATGCTGCTACCAAAGCTGGCACACTAAACAGCTGTCTGTTGATCCTAGCTGGTAGTGTTTTGGTATTGCTGACGAAAACGATACATCGTACTATAAAATTTATATATTATTGATATACAATTATGTATCAATATTCGTTTTTGACATAACGAACAAATATACTTTATTACATTGATTATCCATCAGTTTGTCTGAATTAATTTTTTTCAGCTCCTGTTCAGCCCTAAACGATAATTGCTTACTTACTACATACCAATAAAAAATACTATATGTTTACAAAAATACCTACAGTTCAAACTAAACAAGGATAAACAGAACAGCTGTCTGTGATCATAGCTAGTGGCGAATTACAATTAATACATATATTTCAACGAAATATTGGGATATAAAAGTTAATATTATTATTATTAAATTTGTATATATATTGCAAAATATATATGTTAATTGGACTACGAATGAATAATTATGAATTAGTATTAAATAAGCAGAAATATCGATATACCTTTGCGTTACATATCTGTCAGTAAGCTGTCACCGTGCTTACTAAACAGCTGTTGAGAACAACAACAAAAGAAAACGCTTGTGTTCCAAAATTTTACGTAATTTCTATTGTGATTTGCCGTTGATAGCTAGGAATTGTGTGAAGAGGAAAACAAAAGAAAATGTCGCTAATCCGTCAGGCATTAGCGCGCACAGCGCCCACCATGCAGTTGTAAGTGCAAGGCGAATGCTTCTGGCCCTCCACTTGCTAGGAGCTGATAACTCTGCAATTTTTTTTTACTGTTACAGCACGGCACGCCGCTGGGTCTCGTCGCAAGATGGGGGTCCAATTGATCCAAGCACTGCGCTAGCACGTCCAGACGAGTTGGAGCAACGCAATAAGTTGAGTGGCAAAATAACCGTACCCGTCGAAGTTAATCTGGCCCCCATTTCCGGAGTGCCCGAGGAGCATCTGAAAGATCGTCGCGTTCGCATTCATATGCCACCCAAAAATGCAATGCAGAGTGGAACGGACAATATAAACACTTGGCAAATTGAATTCGACAATCGCGAACGCTGGGAAAACCCCCTCATGGGCTGGGCATCAACGTAAGCGAAACAGAAATTCATTCCAGAGACTCTCATCCGACTATTTCCCTCTCCCTCTCGCACTCATTTTAGTGGCGATCCATTGTCGAATATGAATGTGAAATTTGGCTCCAAAGAGGAAGCCATTACATATTGTGAACGCAACGGCTGGCGCTGGTTCCTCGACGGCGATCTTAAGCCCAAAAAGGAGCGCGTTAAGAATTATGGCATCAATTTCTCATGGAATAAGCGCACACGCGTCTCCACCAAGTGAAGCACTGCCATCAATGCGAATGCGATGCAGTTGCTTCAATTGACAGCGAACATTGGCGCTTTATAAATAATTTAATTGCTATTAAAACTATTAACAATTCAAATTCTAATCTCAAATTCGAACTCAAATTGTTACGGAGCAGTTGGCTCAGATGACTACGGCTACGGCTCCTCCTGTGTGCGTGGTGCTCCCAAATTTCTCTGTGCCTACAATCCAGGTTATATGACTTGGAATGCTTTACTTCTGATCAGAGTCGGACTTTCATTTTACAATTCGACCTTGACGACTGCCCCAAGCGGCGCCTGGAACTTCGTCTTCCACAGGATCAACTCGCCTTCGGCTGCTGCTACGACAATTTCCTCGACTCCAACAAGAATTCAGGGCTTTCTTTCGCCTTCTTTGACTACTATGAATCTTTCTTCGACTTGGATTCGAAATTAAATTTACCCTGCATCTGCGGCTTTGATTCTGCCTCTTTCTTTGACTCAAAGTCAAGTCTTTCACTTCCTTCTCTTTATCAAATTAGATTTGCTTAAATATTTGATTCTCTATCTTGGGCTTTTCCTATGCCTACGACTCGCATTTCGATTGCTGCTTCGACTTGCGCTAGAGCTGCGGCTGTGTTTTCGACTCCGTTTCGATTTTCGACTCCTACTGGGTTTTCGGTTCGGACTTCGACTTTCCCTACGTTTTCTGTTCGGACTTCGACTTTCCCTACGATTTCTGTTCGGACTTCGACTGTTCCTTTGGCTTCGGTCACTGCCTCTACCGGCGTTCGAATTTCCAGTGCTCCTTTGAGTACTTCTGTTTTTACTGGAATTGTGACTAGTCCTCAGATGACTGCGACTCCTGCTACTTCTGTGAGTCCCTTTACTCCTGCTCCTGCTCCTTCGTCTGTCATCCCATCGCCCCAGCTTCCGTTCCCTGCGTTCTCCACCAACAAAACGCTGCTGCTGCTGTTCTTGCTTCTGCTGCTGCTGCCGTATCTGTTGCGTTAATGCCTGCATTTGGAGGTGCACGAGCTGCTGCATCTCCTCCAGTAATGTCATCTTGCTCTTGCGATGCCTTCTCGCTTTCTGATGTGCTCTCTTTGTCTCTGCCACAAGTTCAGCAAAATTCGCCTGCTGCTCGAAGCTGAGCTGTTGTCGTGGTGTGCAGCTGAGCACATGCTCATAGAGGATAAGCTTCTGTTCTGCGCTATAGTTCAATTGCAGATCTTCGAAAGAATCAATGGGAACAACATGCTTGCCCGGCAGCAGTTGCTGCAACTGTGCGGCATTTAGCTTTACACTGTGCTTTGCCGCAGTACAGCAGCTTGGTGGCAGCTGCTCAGCGCCGACGTATTCCTGCTGAGACAGCGGGCGATGCAACTAAAGGAGTAAACAAATTAGTTTGCATCCAGCTGATAAAGCCAATCTTTTACTTACCTGCTGCACGCCTTGCTCTGTCCAATTGAGACGTTGCAATATCTGCCGCAGTTGTGCTCTACTCTTGGCTACATATTGACGAAGTGCCTCCTGACTAGTGGACATCTGCGAGCTGAATTTGAGGATTTTGAATTATGCAAATTTCAATTTAGCAAGCGCAGATCGAATTTAGAACCCTATTCTATCCTTTGTAGCCGGCATACTGCATTTGGCAATTTTCACTTACCACAGCCAGGTCACACTGAAAAGAGAGCAGCGACAATGATAATGGTAACAAAAACTATACCGTTTTATTATAAACGAATTGTCTAGAACCGAGCAAACAGTTTTCTTTACTAGACATATATTGACGCAGTCCAACATGGGTAGAAGCTAATTGCAAGAGATAAAAGCCCATAGAACGGCCATTCGTTACCGGCGTACCCACACAGAACATTTTGTTCCTTATCACAGCAAGGTCACACTGACGCAAATACTAAACAAAAAATTTAAGTTTCACAGTAATATAGTAAAGAAAATTGGACAAATAAACAAGTGGCTCTTAAAGACTACTCAATGAAATTCCAAATGCTCTATTTATTGAACCTTAACTCCAAAAGAGAACGGTAAAAGCCATTATCAGGCAAGCGGCGCCAACCCAAGGCGACTTTCGTTCCCCAATTCTCGCCAGCTTCCAAAATGTTCCCAGCAAACTGTAAAATTAATTTCCAATGCAACATTTAACAAAGTTATAATTAAATATATTTAAAGTACTTACCCCGTTTTATTGCGGTCAATGATGCTGGGGAAGAGCGAACGCAAATAGGCGCAGGTGCATATTAGTAGCAATATCACCGACAATAAGCTTTGAAAATTGAACAATGCACTCTGCAAAATATGTAAAATTTGCCTATATTATTGAATTTCGTGTATCACACAAACTATTACCATTTTGTTGTGCGTAGCTTAAAAAAGAAAACAAAAACAAATTATACTGTGACGTGCCCTGTTAAGTGTGGCCGAACTTGTGATGCTTTTTTAATCGAAATATCGCAACACGTATCACTAAATTTCCCAAATCGATAGTGTGTGTGCGTGTACTTAACAAGTGCATGTATCGCTGACCGATGTTTGATTAATCGATAGTTTTTAGTCAGCCCTACATCGACGTCTCTGATACGCTGCGGGATTTTATTTGCTCTATTACTATTTTTTTGTCGTAATTGTAATTTGATCGTCGAATTGCAAAACCTCTGAATTAGCCATTGTGGCTTCTGCAGCGAGAACTCCATGAATGGCTCGGTTACAATAGGGAACGAATTGAAAGTATCCGCCAATTGCGTCAAATAAGAAAAAATACTTTTTACTTCGTGTGTGTGTGTGTGCCTGTCGGTGTACGTGCGTACGTGTGTGTGTGTCGCTCGGTGTGTGGCTCTGTGTGAGTGTACTGCACATAGCGCATCGTTCGGTTGAACTTTAAATATACAAAACACAGTTGAGTAAAACAACGAATTGTACATTTAAAACGAATAGAACAAAAAAAAAATATATATAATAAAAGAATATATGATTCTATTGATGAATTTGTAGTCCTTGGAGAAGTTATCAGTTCGTTGTTCATGCGCTCGCAGTGCAATTTGTGAGCAAAAGAAAACTTACCATTTTTTTCGTACATCTTTGTATATAACAAAAAAATCGGTATATTACACATACAGATGTTCGTATTGTGTGCGTGTGTGCGTTTTTTTTTTTTTTTTTTTTGAGAATTCTAGCTGCTGAAGCGCTCCTGTGTGCGTGTGTGTCCGAGTGAGCGAGCGAGCAAGCACCCAAAACAACAACAACAACAACAAAAGCACATCCACTGTCGCAGCTCTCACACACACACAAATTGTCATGTTGACACTCTTGCGGATTCGGACTGCACTTGCATAGCGGTAAGTGTGCCCATACACAATTTCCCCAAAATGTTCGTATAAGAGAGTGAGGGACAGGGAGGTAGGGGAAAATAGTTGCAGCCAATACGCTTTAAGTTCGAATGTAAGCTAGGACATTTTTTAAAGGAAATTAAAGAATAGATATAAATATATTTATGTATATAAGTGTATGGAAACACTCATACATAGTCATATGTATGTGTTTGTCGCCGTCGTCGTCTCCAGTGCGTGTATTGGTGCTGTCAAGCTTTTGCCTTTTTTACAGCACACCAATCGTCATATAATTAAGTGCACTTTGTTGGAAAAATGTGCGCTTTGAAAAAAATAACAGTTAAATTATAAATGTGAAAAATGAAGTGAAACTCAAATTGAATAAAATAATTGTTTATATGATTATTTATTATTTATTAATTATTATATACAAGTGAACCAGTTTGTGTTTTGATTGTTTGCTGCTGTTGCTGTTACTTCTGCTGTTCCCGCTTCCCTTTCGTCTTCGCCGACGTCGTTGTCGTTGTCGCCGTCGTCGTTTTCGCCGTCGCCGTCGTTTTTGTCGTCGAGCTGTGTTCAGTCGATATCTTCTCATCGCAGACATTCGCCAAAAAAGTGTTGGCCAAAGCAGCAGCAGCAGCGACAGTTGTCAGAGCGCGCAAATAATATTAAGCAACAATAAAATAAAAGAAATGTATTAAAATTGAAACAAACAAACAAGAGCATAAATAATTAAAAAACAATATAATTTTAATATTTTTGTTAAGTGCGCAACAACAAAGTGTTTTTTTTTGTCTCTCGCTGCGTGGCTGCTGCGCCTGTATCTGTATTTGTGCAAGTATATATGTGTGTGAGAGAGCGAGCGAGAACGTGAGAAAGTTTTCTACATTTGGCCAGCAGGCAGAGCAACAAGCTTTTCGCCGCGTAAGAAAGAAAAGGTAAGAGATGCACTCGATTTAGTTGATATTTGTAATGTTTTCTTTTTGAAACACCCATACACGCATACATGCATACACCATCTCACACAACAGAAAAACACTCTGACAAGTTGGAAAAATTTTCATTGATTGCATGCTGCTGCTTAATGAGTAAATTAAATGTGAATAATTCGCCGCTCTTTGGTTTTTGTTGTTGCATTCTCTTTATCGTTAAGTTTTTTTTTTCGTTAAATTTTTATTTAATTCTCTAGCAACATGTATTAATTTATAAAATGTATATATATATATATATATATATATATATAAATTACATAAAAATATATATATGCTATTTTCTTCTTAATACTTTTCCTACATTTGGTTTTGCACCTCAGCTTTGCGCTCTTTCGGGCTTATATTTTAACTCTTACGCGCTCTTTGCCATACTCTCTCTATCTTTCTCTTACACACACATAGGGACGTTTTTACTGTAAAAGCTTTGGCAGTGTTGCATTTAAAGCGCGCGCGGTGTTTAGTGCTTTTTCCCCATTCAAATGCCTCGCGCGCTATTGTTGATAAAAGAACTTTTTTAGCACCTAAACTCGTTTTTTTTAGCAACAAAGTAGAAGGTAGTAAAGCGTTACCAGCGAAGTTGCTGATTGCCAGTTGTTTGGCATTTGAGTTGTTTTATTTCCCTCTAAAATGCCATTTAATTGCAATGTAATAAATATTAAATATCAACACATGTTTGCTTCCATACATCCATTAGTATTTTCATGAATAAAACGAATTCCCTTCTAGGCATTTAAATTCAAATTTTGTTTTTAACAATCGACACATTTGCTTATTGCGTTTTTAAGTGTAATTCGAATTCGAATTCGAATTCCAGGCAGCGGTCAGTCAGTCAATGACGTCAGATAGCCATAATTCCCCAGATAATAAAAACAACAACAAAAAGTGCTGCCCAGCAGCAAGACTTCCATTATGACAAAGAGCTTGCAGCTAAAATGAGGGCAAAATGGAGTTGGAGCTGGAGCTGGAGCTAAAGCGCAGTTTGCAGCTTTCGATGCTCTTTTTTTGATTGTTATACCTGCACAATATTGTCAAGGCCATTATTATAGTTGCTCTTTGTCTAACACATGTTGCGCTGTTGTTCAGCTCCTCTTGCATTGGTTTACATACTCGAGCTTGCCTTGCCTATCCTTGCATACATATTGCATGCAAAAGTTATGCTTTTGCTATATAGTCAAGTGAAAGAGAGAAAGAGAGAGAGCACGAGCTAAAGCCTAGTTCTGCACACTAGCTGCTTTTCGGTCGCACACTTTGCATTTCTCATTAGATTGTTGCGCACAATTCCCCTACTTCCTCTCTCCTCTTTTCTTCTCTTTTATATAATAATTTTTCATTATCGATTTGAGTAATTTGGCAACAAATAAAATAGGAGAAAAAAGCAAATAACATGCGCACAGTGGTATGAAAGCTTAAATATATGTATGTGTATATATATTTCAATAACAATTGCATTATACTTTTCTCTATTGCTTTTCATCATTGCATTTTGTAAATGTACGAAATTCGAGTAAAATAGTTAAATCAAACAACATTTTTGTCGCTTGTACTAAAAACGTGCTAATTAAATTAGGAAATATACCAAATATAGACATATACAACACCTTTATATATATATATATATATATATATATATATATATATATATATATATATGTATGGATGTATATAGTATATATACATACAATAATTTTTGTCTGTATGTATGGCAAGTGCAATTGACGTTGTTTTCGTCATGGGACACGCGTTGCGCGAATTCTTATCGCGTTTATAACGGTATCGCTGGCAGTGCTGCCTGCTAGCCAGCTACCGTTCATAATCCACGCATTAACAACATTTTCGACAAAGAAATCGACTTCAAAGTGCTGCGTATATTAGCTCGATGTATGTGTTAATTAGCTATATTTTAATTAAATATATAAATATCTAAGTGTTTTATATATGTGTGTGTGAGTATATGTTTTGTGCCATCATTCGGCATGTCGAATAATGCAGTTTATATACATAATGTACAATGAAACTGATTTTTCTTCATATGCGCATTGTCTCTGCGGTCAGCTGCGCAGCACTGACGACGCTATTTATTGCTAGAAACGAAGCGAGAGAGTGCTGCGCATAATAGCTTTTTTTTGTGTATTGCTGTATTTTGTGTCAAGCCAAATCTGTCTGATTTAATCAACAAATCTCTTATTGTTATATATATGTGTGTAAATGTTTTATGTCGAAGAATGCAGATTGATTTACATATATAAATTTATATATATATATATATATAACATAACATAACAAAATTAGCTTTTTTTCTAGCTTTATGTGAGCTTCACTAACGCTGTTGCTTGATAGCGACGACGCGTCATCGCCAGCGTCTCCATCGCAGCGATCGTTCGCGTGCCATTTTTCGCTGCTTTTTGCTGTTTTGCTCATTCTTATTTTGACAAGCGACGTGTGCGGAACGCATTTGCGCGCGACGGCATTTTGTCTGATCAAATTTCGTTTACCTTTTTGTGCGTAGCGCGGACTTAAACTTAAAACACACACACACACATACATACATATTCCCACGAAACACACACACGCACACATGCGAGCTAATTGTGTCTATATGTGAACTGTGGTGTAGCTGTGTTTGTGTTATTTTTTCTTCACTTTTGTGTCTATACATATATATATATATATATATATATATATATATTTGCGTGTGAGTGTGTGTGTGTATCAGCTTTGCTTGCGAAACGCAAAAGTATCAAAGGAAGCGCTAGCGTCTCGCGCGCTGCAGCAGCAGCGCTATAACAACAACAATAGTAATGGCTCAATGCTGTGAGACGACAACAGCGACAATGTCCACGCGATTTGGTGGCAGCACAGGTCGTCAGGCCACGCCGGCGTCCGCTGGTGCATTACTATGTATGTATTAATAAAAGCACCCTGTACTTAACACACTAAACTCTCATACACACAAACACACATTTACACACATGTACTTGCACTTGAGCTTCATTCTTTTACTGCTAGTCCCATTATTGTTGTTGTTGTCCAAAAAATTATGCTGACATGATGTTGCTACTTCATGCTCTTCATATTCGCTCGTCTGCTTTGCGTGACACACATTGAGTTACGATCGCGTGATTTATTTTTTTCTTCTTTTCTTGTTTGCCATTTTCTTTAAAGTTTAATGACTTATTATTTTTATATAATTCGTTCGGATTTATTAACTTCTTTTTTTTTGTGTTTGCCTTTCGATTACTGCAAACATGCATATGTGTGCGTGTATGTATGCAGTGGGTGTGTCTGTGTTTATGTGATTGGTCACACTGTGGCTGTTGGTTGCGCTCATATATTATGGGCAAACTACATACGAATGCAGGGACAGGTGCTTCGTTGTTGTAGTTGTTGATGTTTTTGTTATGCCTTTACAGTTATTTGTCATGATGATCATCATCATTATTATCTTGAACTTCATCATCATAAGATCATTCGTAATCACCAAAACAAAAACAGCCAAACCAGACAAAATATTTTTTGTTTTGTTATTGTTTTTTCCCCTCTTTCTCGAATATATTAGAATTTTTTTTGTTGCTATTTTTGTGAATTTCCGCCTTCAGACTTGATATGTTTTGCTTTTCTCTACTGTTTGTTAGTTTGATGTGATTTTGTATAGAAAGACGAGACATAAACATACATATGTATATATTATGTGTGTATATATTAAATGTTCATACATATATATGTATATATATATATATATGTATATATAAATATAGACTTTCTTAAGTTGCGAATTTAGTCTGCTTAACCGGAATTATTGTGTGAAACAAACATTGCGAGTGTTCTTTGGCCTTGAACACCTTATAACTTTTTTTATTTTGGCAAAATTAGCAAACAATGGGCAAAAGCTTAAACGAATTTGCTTTTATCTATGTGGGTGAAAGTTGAATATCCTAACTTGGTAGCTCCCTCCCGCTTCCACACACACATGTTGCGCTGCTGTTCTGCATATAGCAAAGATCCCAGCTAAAGAGCAGCAAGTGTGAGCAAGCGGAAGGTAGGGGCAAGTATGAACTCAATGTAAATTGACTCACTCTTATACTCGTAAGCTTAGCTTTAGCGGCAATTTTGATGACTAATGTTACAGAGAGAGAGAGTTGGATAAGCATATTTATTTAAATAGAGAGCGAGAGTATGAGCCAGGCGGTAACACATTGTTGTTTGTTATAAAACACTTGGCACGTTTATGACTGCCTAAAGCTGTTGAGCCCTGCGTCCAATGCAAATGAAAATGCAACAAAATAAAACCTGATCGAAAACGAAAGTGCCGTATAAGACAATGCACTTTATAAGTAAATATTGTAAATTGTATAAGGGAGAAGAAGAAGAAGGAATAGGAGGAAGCGACATTGCAATTGGAATTGTCAATGTCAAGGTGAACTCATATTTTGTTGACTGCGGCAGATGCGCACTCAAAGTAGAAAAGAAGGAAGCATTGCCTTGCACAGTGGGGCAAATGAGACAATTTAGACATAGCGTTTAATGTGCTTGTTTTGTCTATATATTTTGTATTGTGGTATAGAATATAATATTACATTATATTATTATATAATATATATTATATAATATATATTAATGAATTAATTACATGTACTAAGTATAATCCGCAGAATCATTACTAAAGCAATTTCAATTTTATTTTTATTGAGTTTTCACTAGTCTGTAGCAGTTGCCCATATGCCATATCATCGTTCGCATTTGGGCATTTGCTCACGTACTTCCACTTTTTATAACTATTTTTTTTTTCTGATTAGATTGGTGTACTGGCTTTAAATAGGTCTGATTCAAATAAACTTTCTATCACAAAATTTGTTAATGATGCTTTCTGATAGTTATGCTCATAGATTTCGACATTATCTGTGCTATTGTTAACACTGACACCATTCAGTGCTGCAAAAGCACATATTATCAAATATTGCAAAATATTACAAAAGTCGTTGAGTCAAAGTAAACGACTTTGTGTTGCAAAGATAAAGAGTAAGAGTATTGTTGTCGGGTATAAACGACTGCCTAATACTCGTTCCCAACAAAAAGCAATATAAATCGATTAATAGATATTTCCATTACTAATTTATTGATCTATCTGTAGCGAGGCACGTAAATCAGTAATAAAATTGTATAAGTGGGCGTACATATGTATATAGAGAACTGACAAATATTTTGGTTTTCTTCACTTGTATTTTTATCACTTGAATAAATATTGTTTATCTCGGCTTTTTTTTTGCATTGGGCTTACGAATGTCTGGTACGACTTATCAATGCGAAATTAATGGTATTAGTGTTATATTTAACACCCATATATATATATATATATATATATATAAATATATACATGTATGTATGTTTATATATATATATATATATATATATATATATATATATATATATATATATATATATATATATATCTATATATATATATATATATATATATATATATATATATATATATATATATATATATATATATATATATATATATATATATATATATTTAACGCAGTGGCACTTTTTTGTTTGTGAACATGAACTCCTGATTGCATTTACTATCTATAAATAAACAGCTTAGTGTTAATGATTGATTGATTAAAGTTTAAGGGTTAAGTTGCAGGGTAGTGCTAGTCGATCATACACTTTTGCATATCGATGATGATTTGATTGACTGACTATCAGTCGAATACAAAACTTCTGGGGTATGTGCTAGTCGATCACCCCTATTTATTCTCCTTTTTAGATGATTGTTTTGCTTATCGTCTCTTCGTACATATGTATGTATGTCTCCATGCTTTTTAACTTCTGATAAGAGTCGCTGGATAGGAAAGAGCCGGGGTGTGGAGAGGAGGCAGTAAACAAAGCTCTGATTATCTTATTAAAAGCGCGTCAGCTGCTCAAGTACTGATTATAATTATTATTATTGCTCTTCTCGTTTTTAATATATTATCAAAGGGTTAATGAGAGTTCGGCACAAATGTAATTGTAATTGTAATTGTTGTTTGAATACAACATACTCTTATCAATCGCAGTTGGAAATCATTCGAAATACATTTTGATTAACCTAGCGGCGTTAGCAGCTGAAAATCAGAAGAACAAGCAATCACTGATTATGTCAAAGGTATCTGTGTGTGTGTGGGTGGGTTGGTGTGCGGTCAGATTGGCTGTCCACGTGCAAAGCGAATGAATGCGACATCAGCAGCAGCAGCAACAGCTGCTAGATTACAATGATAAGCGATGGAGAAAGAAAAATTTAGATGCAAATGGAAGACGACAATGAAAGCAACTGCTGATGTCCCATAGTCTAAAAAGATTTGGAAAGTGGGAAAAGAAAACCAATTACAATTTAAGTATGTAGATATTAGCGGATTATGTTAGAAAGAGCACTCTAGATAATGATAAAGGATTTTTGAAAGACTTAAATTCTCTAGAATAGTGAGGAGAAAGAACTCTCCATAAGATTTGAAGATAGATTGAGAGATAGAAATAAATTTATATATATTAAGAGAGACAAGAAAACGAGATGTATGAAGAGTGATAGAGATACTCAGCGAGAGTCAAATAGACAGGTGACTGAAAAAGAGAAGAGTAATAAATTCAAAGAATAAATTGAGCGAGACAAAGAGAGAGCGAAAGAGAAGGAGAATGGGAAAAATAGACCGAAAGAGATATTTAGAGAGAAGAATAAAATAAGACTTAAAGTGCTATAAAGAACGAGAGAAGGAGAAAGTGAGACAGAGCAATGAACCCAAATGTAGTTAATGCAGAGTGTGCGAGAGGCAATGATCGACCAAAAATATAGCTCTTAAGCACTTGCAAAGGATTTCAGCTTAAGTAGCACTGGAAAGTTTTGGAAAGCTGCTGATTGCGAATCAAAACATCTTTGTTTTTGTTCTCTTTCCACTTTAATTTCGTCGTTCGCTTGCCTATCGCAGATCGTGAATCGCGGGTCAAGTTTGATTTTTTCGTGACGCATTTCCATTTGCATTTGAGTTGTTGCTGTCTGCCCTAATCTGTCTATTGACTATACACGTGTGTATACACTATATATATTATGTATGCATGATGTATATATATGTATATGTACATATGTTATATATGCAAAATGCCTTTCAAGTTGCAGCTCTTTTGGCTATTGATCAATTGCACTTGGAATCAGTTAAGTTTTACCGCCTCACTTCTAACCGCAGCCCAGCGCCTTCCAGTCATTTGGCATCTTGCGCAAACAGGCAATTGTGAACTAGTTCACACACACACATATATATACATTTGCTGCCAATCAGAATCAAAGCGAAAAGTCGCGCCATTCGATTTCGTATTTTTTTGCGTAGTTTTTATTTTACAGAGATACTTTTTATGTATGTTGTTGCTGTGGCTTTTCGTTTGATTTGTTGACCTCTGTTGTAGCCGGCAAGCAAGAGCAGGCAAGCAAGCAAAAAAGTTTACAGTTACAAACTGCGCTGCTGGCTGCGCAGCTGCTAGTGCTGCCGCTGCGTAACAATTTCGCTTCGCTTCAAACTTTTTGCATTTAGTGCACAATTTTTAGTATTGGCGCACTGAGCGTTGTGTCTGCTGCTATACAGTTTTTTTCCTTCCATATTTTGTTGTTTTTTTTTTTTTTATGTTTTGATTGCTGTTGTTTTTCTTATAATTTTGCACTCTCGCGCGTGCATCTTTCTCGCTCGCTCGCACTGCTTTACAACTTTAAACTTGGCCGCAGGTAATTGCAACTACACACACTTACACACACACGCCCTCAAAGTAACTCATGCACATATTTAATCATGTCATATCATTCAGCTTTTGATTGGCTATCATGCTGGTTGTTATGAAAGTCTTCAATTACTTGTTTTTCATATTGCGCATTTCTTGCTGCTGCTGCTGCTACTACGGCTGTTGTTATTATTTCTACTATTATTGGAATCCAATTGGTTTAATGAGCCATTAATAATTAATTGTGGCCGCAATTCCAGTATGCAGTAGCTTTAGCACCATTTGCATTATATAAATAATTATAAATAACCTGTTGAGTATTTTTTTAATTGTAAATCAATTTGCTGCCTAATAAATAATATTCAAATAAAAAAAATAGCTATTTGCACGCAAGCAAGCACATTCACAATGGAACTTTATTGCAGCAGTACTGTCAATTTGCTGAGATAAAAAAGTTAAATGCTAGAAACGATCAGAAAAAGCTTGTTTTTGTGAGGGCAAGAATTGAATATATACAGCAAAAATACCTTAGGTGTATATCAAGGGAAACGTTAGTTGATAGATCTTTAAGCAAAAATGTTAGATTCATATATTCCATAAAAATTGATAAAGAGGGCTAGATTGTGTATTTAGCTGGTGGTAGATTTAAAAATCGAATTATCTGTAAAAATTTTGTAAATTAAAAAGGCTATTTTCATAAAAAAACGCTAGATTTCAACAGATCACAAAATTCTCTAAAATAACCTAGTTAATATATCTCTAAAAATAGCTAGATATATGAAAATCACCAAAACTAGTTAAAAAAAAAACTTGTCGGTGGTAAAAGGTGTGCTGCTAGACTTGGCCTCCTAGAAATGGTGTGTGGCAGCACTGACCATACTGCTACCTAAACAGCTGATCGTTTTGCACATGTAAGAGCTCTTATATATGCATATATATATGTGTGTGTTCGTGTGTGTATGCTTGCATAAGTGTGTGTGTTTATGCTTGCATGCAAACGCCTGTTAAAGTTTGGCCTGTCTGGCAACGCTGACCTTGAAAGAGGGAGAGAGAGAGAGAGAGAGAGACACGTCTTTTGCCGATGCTTTTGTTGCCGTTCACCTACCGCATTTGCTTGCTTGCAAATATTCCATTGGCCTTTCCTTATCTCTCTCTCATTCGTTTGTTCGTTCGCTTTCAAAGTTTGCCTTGGAAATTTCTTGAGCTGTAATCAATTTGCTGTAAATGACAAAAAGAAAATAAAATATTTGCATGCATGCAGAAAGCATGTGTTAAGCTCTTGTGCTTAAATATTTTTTGCTTTATAGAAATCTCAGTATTTCTCATTTCGTTTCTTCTGCTTTCATTTCTGATTTTTTCTTTTAGTACGTGCATATTAGCAAAATGCAATTATAAGCAGAATTTAATAACAGCAGCAACAAAAACAACAACAACAACAACAGCTGGCAATACAACAATTTCGCTCTTATGCGTTAATCGATCGCTAATTACGACCAGGGCTGAACTATCGATAACAAATCATAAATAAAGCCGACAGACACGCACTCACGCACGCATCCCTCGTCTTCCTATGCCTATATTTAATATTTTATGAGCCAACAGCTGTTTTATTTTGTTTCCATATAAAAACGCTTGTCGTCGTCGCCCACGCACGTTTCTATTCTTTTGGTTCTTTTCTTCTCTTTTGCTTTTCCGCACAAATTTTCCTTGCGCGCTTCAATTCAGTCATTCGTCGGGGTTCGTCTGCGTCAAGTGCAAAAAGAAGTCAAATATACATATTTATATGATAGATACATATATCTATGTATGTATAACTAAAGCATATGTATGTATGTATGAGTGGGTGTGTATGTGTGTGAGACTATATGTGCGAGCGTGCGTGTGTGTAAATGTAGTTATCTTTTGCTTCTTACGAGTTCTTACTTTTTTAATTGCGTCTGCTTCTAACGGGCTTTCTTAACTGGTTTAATTTTGATTTTTTTGTTTCTTTTTCATTCTTAACTCACATTTTTTGTGTTCTTTTTTGGCACGGCTCATTCGCATACATACACACGCACATATTTATGAATAATATTGTTGGGCTGCTTCATGTGGAACACACGACAACAACTACAGCAAACACTGCATCACACCCATTGCCCACAACAACACAAACAACTAAAACAAATACTCGCCTAATTTCATGTCTCACGCAACAACAACAAATGCTCAATGCAGCAGCAACAACAACAACTCAGCAGCAGCAGCAGCAGCAGCAACAATTGCTAAGCAGCAACAGCAACAACAACAACAATTCAACACATTTCAATTACATTGCAGCTAACAACAACAACAAGGAGGAAACAGCAGCAACTGCAACGTCAGCAACAGCTCAGAAATTGTTGCCCACGCTACAGCAAAAGTTGACATTCAACAACAACAATAACAACAACAACAACAACACCAACAATACCAACTCCTCCGTGACAACAACCTCTTCCGCCTCCTCAGCCTCCTCCATCTCCTCTGCTTCCTTATCCACAACCTTACCAACTTCTAAGCCCTGCAATTGCTGTTGCGTTCACATTTTGCAACAACAACAATTGGAACAACAACAATTGGTACAACAGAACGCCGCAGTAGCCGCCGCTAAAGAGCTAGTACGTACCGTAACAGCCACCAGCATCATGGATATGCCCTATAACACCTCGCCGTCGTTACGCGTGCGTACCACCTCACTGAATCAGTTGAAAAAAACAGCCGATTTAGCAATTGAAAATGAGTTGCATGTCTGTCCGTCGGTTATGTCGGAAGAGTTGCGTAAACTGCTGCCACCCACATCGGAAACGGTGATGACCAAACCGTTTCCGATTCGTGGCGAGCGGACAATAGCCGATTGTACAACGCCTCATGTGATTGCAATGGTTGGTTTGCCCGCGAGAGGTAAGACCTTCATATCGAAGAAGCTGGCACGTTATCTCAATTGGATTGGCATCGCGACGCGTGTCTTTAATTTGGGAGAGTATCGGCGTCATGCAACGACCGCCTATAAATCCCATGAGTTCTTTCGTGCCGATAATGAGGAAGCAATGGCAATTCGGAATCGCTGTGCTAATCAAGCACTGCATGATTCGTGTGATTGGCTGCTGAGTGGACTCGGCAGCATTGCTGTCTTTGATGCTACCAATTCGACTCATGACCGTCGTCAACTGATCTACGATATTGTGGTTAAGCAACATGGTTTTCGCTTATTCTTTGTCGAGTCGATATGCGATGATCCGCAAATCATTGAACAGAATATATTGGAAGTGAAGGTCAGCTCTCCGGACTATATCAATATGAATACGGACTTGGTTGTGCGAGACTTCTTGCAACGCATCGAACACTACGAGGAGCGATATCAGCCGATTGACGAAGTTGCGGAATCACATCTCAGCTTCATGAAAGTCTATAATGCCGGCAAAAAGGTCGTCGTCTACAACAACGAAGGTCATGTCGAATCGCGCATTGTTTACTATCTGATGAACATTCACATAACACCACGTACCATCTATCTAACGCGTCACGGTGAATCGGAACATAATTTGAGCGGCTTAATTGGTGGCGACTCGAATTTGAGTCCCCGTGGACACCAATATGCCCGAGCCTTGTCCTCATTCATCTCGCAGCAACAGATCGATGGATTGCGTGTTTGGACCTCTTGGATGAAACGTGCCATACAGACTGTAGCAGATGTGAAAGCGCCCCAGGAACGTTGGAAGGCATTGAACGAGATCGATGCGGGTCACTGTGAAGAGATGACCTATGAGCAGATTAAAGAGCGTTTTCCCGAAGAGTTTAAGGCGCGCGATGTCAACAAGTTTGCTTATCGCTATCCACGCGGCGAAAGCTATGAAGATCTGGTGGCACGTCTTGAGCCTGTCATCATGGAATTGGAACGTCAGGGCAATGTGCTCGTTGTCTCCCATCAGGCTGTCTTGAGGTGCTTGTTCGCTTACTTTTTGGACAAGTCAGCGGATGAGTTGCCCTATTTGTATGTCCCATTGCATACGGTCATTAAGCTAACACCTGTCGCCTATGGCTGTAAGGTGGAGCATATTAAATTGCCAATCGATGCTGTCGATACGCATCGTCCAAAGCCAAAAATACCTGGAGACGTTAGCGAACCCGGTTTGGATGGTCTAAGTGGTGAGCTGGTTGCGCCCGATGGCGTCGGCAAGGTGCTCATCGTGGGCGATGATGTGGCTACGGCAACGTCTGCCTCCACCAATGGCAACGGCGGTCGTGCGGATAATACCCAATGACATTGCTTCAAGCCTCCAAAACCAATGAAATCTAAGACATTATAAAAAAGGCAACCGAGATAACCAAAAGACCCCCAATCCTAACCCACCAATCAATCAACTAATCCAATCCCCGCCCCCATTGGATTATCGCTCTGTAATTGATGGAAACGGAAAAGACACTTTCTTCACACACGCACACACCCACAGACACAGACAGACAACGCGGGCGTTGTAATGTTAACATAAGCATAACAGTTGCTCTGAACAGAGCAGCAAGCTTAACAGTAGATGTTGCCGTTTACAGATAACGCTTTCATAACGGACTGCAAATGAAAACATTAACAGCAGCTTTAAATATCGTTGAATATCGCTGTCAGATCACTTGGCATGAACATAACCGATAACCATAGACTTAACAGTTAACAGTTGTTAACAAAGCCGTTAACTGTATCTAACTATTAACGTTAACAGCATACCTAAGAGTCTCTATTAACATGAAAGTGCAAAAAACAATAAGACAGAGCTTACATTTGCATTTTAAAACAACACACTTAGCAGTTGATGTTTACAGAGCCATGAAAGTAACATCGAGAACTTGCAAATGTTATATAGATCTATAACATTCAACAGAGCTCTTTAACAGAGCGAATTGCATGCGTCGAAAGCTGTAGCCCTTAACATTTACTGTTAACAGCACCTCAGTCGAATGTGGAATAGTTACGGTTAAAGTCTATGAATGTTAAGCAAAAAGCGCTTAACATCTGCTGTTATATCTTATGTTAACAGATTTCCTGGAACAGTGTACTTACAGAAAAACAACAGAAACTGAAATAATTTACAGACTGCTTTATGTGAACTGTGTTTATAAGTGTGTATAACTGTAGTAGTAAAAGCTTCTGTACTTTTGTAATGTTAGCAGACTGTTAACTCTCAGTTAACAGCTGTTAGCAGTTAACAGTTGCCATTCTCTATTTTTCTCTATCTATTTTTATATTCCTTATGTCTCTCTATTATGCCTGTTTGCCTTTGTGTTTAAATAGATATTTAGATCTATATCGATATATATTTCGATTTTGGCTGTCGAAACATTTTTTTTTTTAATTTTAATGTTAGTTTTTGTAATTTTCTGTCTTTGTGCTAAATTGTGATTGGAATGACGCTGTTATATCGATGTACTTTACACAAGAAACTCTAAAAAACTTAAACTTAGCTTAGCCTTAACTTAAGACGAAATATATATATATTTTTAACATATTTTCTTAAACAAAACACCAAAAAAACAAAAAAAAAAAAAGAAACAAACAAATCAATTTTTTTTACAATTTTTATTCATGTTTAATGTTTCACTTTTTATTCGAAATTATATAAAAAATTAAGTAAAACTCTATTGCGTATATTTTGTATACAAAGCGAACAAAAAAAGATAAAAATCGATAATCGATAACACTCTAATTGTAGCAACTGTTGTTTCATTCGAGCTCTATTTTTATTGCAATTCGCTTTGTTTTTCATGTCTGGTTTTTTGTGTGTCTAAAATATTGGATGCCCCGTTTTACACTCATCTTATCTATATATGCACACAAAATTATACAAATATATATATATATATATATATATATATATATGGATTCATTTCTATATATATAATATACCTATCGAAATATTGTAAACAATTATTCATAATAAATAAAAATATAAATAAATTACAGTCAAAACAAAAACCAAAGCGAAAACTTTTATTTGTCTTATAATTTCTTGTTCGTATACCCTGTACACATTGAAAATGTATAAGCGGGGTATATTGGCTTCGCTGTAGCGAAAGAAGGTGTGGAAAGTTGAGACGATTTAGATCCTGTTCGTTTGTCTGTTTGACTGTATAAGACTGTACCATAGCCCTGGGATATTAGCACAATTGTATAAGAGAAAAGTTTTGCTTAGAATTGGAGCAGGTAGAAACCGGACTATATTATAAGATTTTAAAACTATTCTGTGTCGAAAGCTTAAGAGAGTTTATTTAGTATAAGACTAGAGTATCTGTAGTATAAGATCTAAAGGCTTAGCTAACTAGTATACGGACTAAAAAGTATTCGTTAGTATATGAGTTTGTTTAGTATAAGAGCTACAAAGTATCTCTATAATAATATATAGATACTTTACACAAAGCACATCTGAAGGCTCGCCCAAACCAAACATTTTTAGTTTCTATGGAATAATTAAATAAAAGATATATTACAATTTATTTCTAATATGCACTTATAATATATGTATGCAAGTTTTATTTAAGTTTCGATGGCAGAATATATCGTAGTAGTTCCTAAGGTAACTGCTAGTCGGACACTCCCGACTTTAGCCCTCGTTTACTCGATTAATTTTAAGAAAAGTTTTTATATATGTTTTAAGAATTTCGAGTATTAAGCAAACATTTTTATTTAAATTCGAATTGCTAACTAAAATGTATAAGAAAATATATTTTTTATATAGTTATATCATATAAATATATCTATATATGAATTGTTACGAAACGAGATCAATTTGTGGTTCAGTTGTTGAGCCTGAGCTTAAGTGCGCAGATGTCCGATGTGCCTTGTCCGTTCTTGTAGAGGGGTTATACATGGGTATATATATTTATATATTCCAATTTCAACTCTAATGAAAATCTCCCAAAAAAGTAAAAAAAACCTAAAAAATGTTTGCAGCTATTCAGGCCAGATGTAATCCTTGAAGCAGGACCTAGACATAAGGAACAGAGGTGACACGAGCTTGGACTACGAATTTGGAAAACAGTTATACATCTATAGAGCTTATATATCTGTTCATATATAAAGCATAAATATGCCACGCTTCCGCAACGAGGAGGTGGTGCAGCGGCAATACAAGGATGGGGACATCGTCTGGGTAAAGATTCACAACTCGGAGATATGGTGGCCCGGCGAGGTGACCTCGTCGCAGGATTTTCGTTTCGTGAACAGCTCGCGGCGACCCTACGCCGTCGTTGAGTTCTTCAATGAACGCACTTTGTAAGTAACCAATCTGAAGTATTCCACCATCTCTAAAATGGGATTTATCTGGATTGTTTTTGTTTTTGTGGCTGACTTTGCAGCGAGCAGGTGAACACGGCTAAGCTCATCTATCCCTTTCAATGCGAACACAAAAAGGAGTTCATCAAGCTGGGCACCAGTAAGTATATAAATATATTTTATAATTGCCAGAATAACTGGATGCTTGACTGACCTTCGATACTCGCTTCAGAAAACTGAAGAGCTACAGCTATTAAATCGATTCGTGTATATTTACTCTCACGTGTATATATCTGTTTAGTTAATGTCGGGATTCATAGACCGAAATATATGCACACAACTTTTGATCAATTTAAAGAAAGAAAATAATTATTGTATGCATATATGTGCATATATATATATGAATGCATATTGAACTCTTTAATGATTGATTCGAGAATGAGCGCTCTCTCCTTCCACACTCTGGATTGATTCTTGCCAGACTGTTGATAGAAGATTGATTGATATTTAGTTGAATGATTTGATTAAGGCGTATTCTTTTTTAACTCTTGATTGATTACAGGTTCTTCACTTGTTACTCCTGATTGATTGATTGGTTGATTGGTTGTTTGATTGGTTGGTTGGTTGAGAGACTCTTAACTGGTTGATTGATGCTTGACGATTGATGCTGAGACATTCGAGATTTGACTGGTTGATTTAGTATTGTTTATCTGAGATTCGAAGAAGATACCTCGGGGAAGTTCTCCCGAGACACTCAATTGATTGATGGCTATTTAGACTCTACTCTATCTCCAGTGAGGTAGAGGAGAAGGAGGTAGTTAGCTCAGTATTAGATAAAGTTTCAGCATCATCTCCAGTCCCAGGTCCAGCCTCAACATCCGCTAAAACCTTACCACCAACGCCTCCATCTTGAACATCTGTTCCATCTCCAGCTCCAGCTTCATAGTTTTTCAATAGCTGCTCAGCTCCTGTAGGGTCCACGTTCCATGCACTTGAATGCAGATCCTTCTGCACCATCTGCTCCCTCTGCTTGAACCAGCGATGCCCGCAATAGTAGATGAGAACACCCGTAGCCAAGCCTCCGACTATAAAGGGACGACTCTGGCGACTCCCCAGGGCCTGTTGCAACGGCTTCACGTTATCAACGATCGTCTGGAATCGCAGGTGCGAAATGGCGCTGGCGGCGTTAACTATGTTGGCCAAGATGCTGCTGCCGCAGCAGCAGGCCTCCGCGCCTACACGCATACCCTCCCTTTGTCTCCCTTTGGTCCTTTGCCGTGTTACCTTTAACTGCTTTGGATATTAATTTGGTTAGCACTTTTATATCTCTGCCTATCTAACTCTCTTGCTGTTGCTCTTGCTTGCTGTTTCTCAAATGGTTTTATTTGTTTTTTAGCAAAATATAAATAATCTTAATACGTGCAAAAATACAAAAATATATATCTGTACAGATTTTATAAAAATTAAAAAAAATATAAATTTATATAAATATATATATTTTTGAGGAGCTCGTATGCTCGATGTGAACACTACGAGATATAAAATAAATGTGAGAGCAACGAGAATAGGTCGGAGCTAACAATAGCTGATCGAATATGCTTTTGCTTTAAACTATCCGATTGCTAGATGTGTGTGTGCGAGGGAGTGAGAGAAGGAGAGACGGGGAGAGTGGGAGAGAAGTGAAGTGATGAAGTGGGAGTGGGTGGGAGAGACAGGGGGAGAGATATAGATATAAAGAGAGAATAAGGATGAGAATTAGAATGAGACTTAGATTGAGAGTGAGTGAGAGACAGAGACAGAGAGAGAGAGAGAGAGAGAGAGAGAAGAAGTAAAGGTGAAGTTAAGTATATAAGTAGCTATAGCCAAAGAAGAAGAAGTCGAAGAGGAACTGTCGCACATGATGAAAGTTGTTAATGCGTTGGGAAAGCTGAAAATGCAGATTGAAAGACTGAATGAATGATATTGTCTATAAGAATTTCTATTTCGAATCGATCCTAACATATATTCGCCTTGCAGAGAAATCCGTTGCATCCGATATGAGGGAGAAGTTCAATGAGGACGTGAAACACGCTGAAAATCGTTGGGCAGAAAGAAATGTGACGAGTGCAGAGCCACCGGTTCGACATGAGAGCCTGATTAAGGCATTGCTATCGAGCACCGTTACCACCGCCACCGTCGGCACCAACACGAGCAACAACAACAGCAGCGGCAGCAGTGGCAGCAGCAACAGCGGCAGCGGCAGTGGCAGTGCCAGCAGAAGCAGCAGCAGCTTCATGAACATCAATAGCAACAGCAACAGCAGCTATAGCAGTGCTGCAAACAATGGCAACTACAACAGCAACAGCAACAGCAACATCAGCAGCAGCAACAACAACAATAGCAACAGTAGCAGCAGTAACAGCAACAGCAACAGCAACAACACTCGCAATAACCGCAACAACAGCAATAGTCTGTCCAATTATTTGGTTGACCATCTCAACAACAGTCGCCACAACAGCCACAGCAACAATCAGCAGCACAACAATCGCCACATTCACAACAATCATCACATCAACAACGACAGCAGCAGCAGCAGCAGCATCAACATCAGCAACAACAACAACAACATTAACATCCCCAACAATAATCACATCAACAACGACAACAACAATGTGAGTGAGGTTAACAAAAACATAGATATAGTAGTCAGATATAGCTAAACCAACGACATGGTATATGACGCTAGATATATAGCTGTTTACAATCTATGTAAACTGAGCAGTCGGCAAAGCTCCTGATCAATCAAAGTTCTATAAGATATGTTGCATACATTACTTATACTATATACAATATATATATATATATAGTTTGATATAAACACATGCATTCCTTACCTTCTACAACTCTTGTAGAACATTGCCGCTTTCTACTATTCTCTATGAATTACATTATATGGCACAGACCCGTATATAGATGACAGTAGATATATAACTCACGAAGCAACATGTCGTTGTAACATATATTTTCGTGTACTATATTCCATGCGAGTAAGCCTGTTGGCTCAGCTTGAGCTCAGCTAGCTTCTGGTGTCTTTTGCATATCTTTTCTGTCCAGCTTCCATCCAATGTGTGCTCGTATAAGCTTCTGATTCTCCTCTAACATAGCTCAGACTATGTGCTGACTTCTGTCATGCGTATGTGCCCCTATAGGGCTGTAGGGTCTTCCACACGGCACTTAGTTTGGTGGCCTCTCTTATACAGCATTGTCTACAGAGCTGTCGATTCGAATTTGCCAGCTACACTTATGCTTTCGGTTGAGTTAATCGATTCCAAGTAACGTTCTCTGTGTGTTGCAGGATTCCTCGATTCGTATCATGGACATTGGAGCGCCGGCTTCCGCATATGCACGACCCGAGGGACGCAACGATCAGCGCTATGAGTGCAACCTGTGCGACTTCCATACGAGCAGCATGAACGTTCTGCTCATTCACAGACGCACTCACTTGGAGCTGAGTCGTTTGAGCACCGGCGCCCAGGTACCCATACCCACAGCGATGCCAGGCTGTGGCAACAATTGCTTGGGGAACAAGCACCGATCATCCCGAAGGGCCAACACGTCGATCTCTCGTGACTTGGCGACCTACTCCTCGCTGTGGCGCTGTCAATCGCGGCACGTTTCCATTGTGGTGGATGCCCCGCTCAATGATGAGGAGCAAAGGCAGGTAGCGAGCATTGCCCAGTTGACGTTGGCCAGCATCGAGCGTGTGGTTAAGTCGCCCATGCCCCTGGAATCGTCGTCCAGCGAGTGCTCCGCGCTGCTGGTGCGTCGCAACACGCAGATAAGTTCGCGGGACCCGAGACGCAAACGTTGTCATCAGATGCGCGCTACGATGCCAGTGCCGCCGCCCTTGGTGCCGTCCACGCCACCAACGCCGGCGAAGCAAAGGAGACTAACGCGTTCCAGTATCAGGCAGCAGGAGAGTGCAGCCAGTGGAAGTGCAGAGGGCGCACGAGCCAGGGCAGAAAGAGAGGAAAGAGGAAGGAGAAGAGGAGTCGGAGCAGCAAGGGAAGCAGCCAGAAGGGGATATGACAGTGGAAGAGGATCAGCAAATGGAGAAGAGGACCCAGAAGATAGAGAAGATGAGGTCGGACGAGCAGAAGCAACAGCAGTCACTGTAGGAAGACGAGGGCTAGAAGCAGCAACCCTCGCAGGGACACCAACTGTAGGAAGATCCGTCTCTTCCTCTGTTACCTTTGTGCTTCCCACACCCCGACCACGCGTAGTCCACTCCAGAAACAGGAGCTGCACAGTAACCAGCGCCAGCTTGTTGTCCTCGACGTCTTCGCCATCTCCGTCGCTACCGCTGTCACCGTCGCCGTCGCCATTTTCGCAGACTTTGCCCAATCGTCCGACCCTAACTATGTCATCCAGTCCAGAGACGACGCCAACATCCAGGTCTCAGTCCCTGCCTAAGACCAAAGCGAAGCCCAAGTCCAGGTCAAATATCAGAGGCAGATCGAGTCACAGCTCGCCGCCCGTGCCAGGGGCTTCAAAACGTGGACGCAAGCGCAAGCAGAAGGAGGAAGAGTCGACAACGGATGCTGTGCGGGAGCAGACAGCCATAGCTGAAAGAGTGCAGGAGAGCCAGCAGACGGAGGAGGAGCAGCAGCAGCGCAGCAGCACTCCAAATCAGATCGTGAATGATTCACGGGAGTTGCAGCGAAGACTGCTAGCTGAATGGGGAGATTACGAGCAGGAGGATCAGGAACAGGAGGAGGAACAGCATCTGCAACTGCAACTGCAGCAGAGGCAACCGCTGGAGCACGAGATGGAGCAGCAGGAGCTAGAGGAGGATGCTGATGCCGATGCCGATGCCGAAGCCAGTCCAGTTACAAACGATGCATCCAATGATGTGTCCATTAACGCCGTAGCATCCTGTTCATCGAGCTCATCGTCTTCCAAACGCATTCGCAACATACCAAAGAAGGATCGCCGCGATGTGGTGCTCCAAGAGTTCGACGTTAGCGCCGAGAGCAGCTGTTTGCCAGATGAGCCGATCCTGATCCAAGACAGCGATGCTAGCTCCAATGAGAGCGTTGTCTTTATCGACGCCGCCGAGCCGCAGCGCTCGATGAGGACAGCAACAGCTAATGCCAATCCCAATCTCAATCTCAATCTTAATCCCAGTGCCGTCTCCTGCTTTGATTTTGATGAAGAGGACGAGCAACTGGAGTCAGCTGCACTGCAACCGCATTCACCCGTCGCCGAGGGTACGAATGGTCTAAGCTATAGGAGACGCACTAAGCCATCTGCTCCACCTCCAGCCCCACCAGCAACGGCTACCAGCACGGCTGCTCTGGCCAATGGCGCTGAGGAGCGCCAGTCTAGAAAACAATCTCTGGGCAAATCCTATGAGGACATTTTCAAAGGCTTCAATGAACAGCTGCAACAGCAGCAGCAGCAGCTGCTGCTGCAGCAACAGCAACAGCAACAGCAGCAGGAGCAGCTGGAACAGGAGCAAGAATTGGAAGCCGCAGGTGGTCTGGAGGCCGAGACGGAGCAGTCGAGCCTGCCCATCAAGGAGCGACAGAAACGCATTTTCAAGTCGCGCAACAAGCAGCGCGAAGAGCACGAGCAGCAAATGGAGCACGAACAGCTGGAAGAGGAGAAGGAGCAGGAGAAAGGGGAGCAGGAAGAAGAGGAGGAGGAGGAGGAGGAAGAAGCCAGTCAACAGGAGCAACAGGCTCTGGAACAGAAACAGGAAGAGGATGAGGAAGAGGAGGACGAAGAGGAGGAGCAAGAGGAGGAGGAGGATCAAGAGGAGCAACAGATGGTCTCATCGCCTCAGCTGACATTGTCCAACGGTTCCAATGGCTTCACTTCTGCACTGAAGACTGACAGGCGGCGCCTCAACAAGCCAAACAAAAGCGACACCAAAACCAAATCGCGATCTAATGTCTTGTCCAGCTACAGCCTGGCTCAAACGCCGCCCACGCCAACGCCCACAGCCGAAGAGCTGAGCAGCTCGTCGCCAGTGCAAATCCAAACGCCAACTCAAACTCAAACTCAAACTCAAACTCAGACTCAGACTCAAACTCAACTGCAGTTCCAAACGCAAATGCATTTTGCTAGCCAAATGCATTTTCCCATCCATTCGCAATTCAGCGGCTTGGCGTCGCCTGCCTTGAGTCACATCCACATCCACATGAGCTCCAACAGCAACAGCTCCTCGCAGCATACGAGCAACAGCAACAGCAACAGCAACAGCAGCTCCATTCTGTCCAATATGGCTGTCATCTCTGCTGAGGAGGCGCGCGAGCTGCAGCGCTCGGCTCCAGCTTTGGTCGAGGAGTCGACCACGGCCACGGAGTCGAGTGGTGTGCTCATACTGGAGGACATTTTGTTGCCCAATCTCTATGAGATACGCCCCAACTCGGTGAATAGCGATCTGAGCAGTGCAAGTGAACGAAGTCGTGGACTGAGTAGAGCCAGTAGGGCCAGCAGAAGAAGAAGCTGTGGAAGCAGCGACAGCAGCAGCAGCAGCAGTAGCAGCAGCAGCAGCAGCAGTAGCAGCAGTAGTAGTGGAGGCAGCGGTCGCAGCCAGGTGAAGCGGCTAGTGAGAGTAGAGGGCGATGACGAGGAAGAGGAGAGTCAAAAGGAGAGAGACCAGGAAGGGGATGAACAGAGTCAAAAGGAGAGGAACGAGGAAGAGGATGACGAGGAGGTGGAGGAGGTGGAGGAGGTGGATGAGGTGGATGAGGTGGAGGAAGAGGTAGAGGTAGAGGGGGAGCAACAGCAGCAACAAGAGATGAAACAGCAGCAGCTGCTAAGGGAAACAGAAGAGGAGCCGGAGAAGCAAATGGAGCAAGAAGAGAACTCAAAAGAAGAGGAAGAGAAAGCAGAGCTGAAGGAAGAGGAGGACAATGAAGATGAAGATAAGTCACAGGAATACTTGGCAGCAGAGGAGAAGGCTAAGCAGTTGCAACTCCAGGAGGAAGAGGTCGAGGATGAGGACGAAGATGAAGACCCGGTGGAAGTGGTGATATATCAAAGGCAACAGCAGGAGCTGGAGGATGAGGAGGAGGATGATGAAATTGAGCATCGTAGCGCTCTTCAGCAGCAGCAGTTAGCGGATGAGGAAGAGGACGAAGAAGAGGAGCACGTGCGAATGCTGAGTCCCACAGGTGAATCCTCGCAAGCTGAGTCAGCTCTAATTGAATCACCTCTAGCTGCCACGCCCCCACGGCCAATTGAATCACCTGGATTAGCATCTATTGAATCCCCAGTAGCTTCCACATCAGCCGCAGCCCAACGCGCCCTTGCCGCCTATGCAAACCTGCGACAGGAATCCCCTCGAGGTGCCTCGCCTTCATCGCCAGCCAGTTGGTCGCCAACGCCGCCGGCAACACCCTCGACCAGTCGACGCTTCGAACTGAAGCTGAAGAAGCGCGAACGCGAAATGTTGCTCAAGTACGAGGCGGACATGATCAGTGGACGCAGCGCAGAGATCAGTCGCATTGCCAGGGAACGCTGGGCGCGTGCCCGAAGCCAACACAAACCAAATGCCGAGGAGAAGGCGTTGCTAATGCGACTCGAGGAGCCACCCACTCTCAGGCTCAATCGCAGAGCGTTCAGCGAGCCGCCTGCAGACATGGATGGTGAGGGCAGAAGCAGCCTACGGAACAGCAGATCCTGCCAAGCTTTGGCCAGCCTGAGTGAGCATGATGTGCTGATAGCCAGACATCAGCTGCAGCTGCTGTGCGAGGCGCAGACTAGAAGAAAGCGGCGAAGCAGCGATGCAGAAGCTGAAATAGAGACTAGAAGGCGGAGGCAAGAGCAGGAGGAAGAAGAGGGGCAGGAACAGCCGGATCAGCCGTTAGAGCTCGAGTTGGAGCTTGGACTGGTGTCGGCTGAGACGCAAACGGAGCTACAGCAAACGGAGACACATCGTGAAAAACAACAGCAGCAAGTCGAACCGCCGGAGCAGCATCAGCAGAACGAACAACCGCAGCAGGAGCAGCAGCCGGAGCAGCAGCAGCAGCAGCAGCAGCAGGAAGAACAGCAGCCACCGCAGCAGAGGCAACAGCCACCGAGAACATATGATCCATTGGATGATGAGCCGGCGACATCCTCACGTTCACAAAACCGTCCGCCCCCAGGCGACAACAATACCGATCCAGACGAATCGAAGGAGACCCCCCCGGAGCCGGCAACAGATCCCAGGATTTGTGCTGTTATGACTCGACCCATTCCTGGCTACAACAATACCTTCATGCTGTGCTCCCTGAGCAACAACAACAACTTCACGCCCTTGAATAATGAGGCATTGTACTTGGATAATGAGAATCACTTGGTGCCGGTGCCACTGGAAGCATTGACTGAGACACCAAGGCTACCCGAAGGCCATCCATTATCGGCAGTCTTCCTGCTGGATGGTGAGGCCGTGGCGCAGGTGGTGCAGGGAGAGCAAGCTGAAGGAGAAGAAGCAGCAGGAGAAGTAGTAGTAGAAGGAGCAGGAGCAGAAGGAGAAGGAGTAGGAGTAGGAGTAGGAGTAGGACAAGCAGAGGGAGATGTTATGCCCGCGATTCTGGGCATGATGTCGCCCTCAAATCAGTTGGCTGAAGGCCAAGAGGATGAGGAGGAGGACCCGGAGCCCGCTGAGGAGCCGGCTGATGAGGTGGAGGACCCATCGCCATCCGAGGAAATCTATCAACTGCAATCGAACGTGCTCCAACTGAATGTCAGTGGACATCAGCTAGAGATAACGACTGAGGTACTAATGAATATAGCCGAGCAACAGGACGACATCATCATTGAGATCGATGGCGGCGGTCAGGCGCTATTGCACGCCGCCGATATCTTGCAGGCGGCCAAGAATTATTTGCAAGAGCGGGACTTACAGCTGGTCAATCTGGAGGATTTGACCTTGCACAACGATGAGCAGGCAGCTGGCTCTGTTCCTGCTCCAGTGCCTGATTTGTTGGCCGTTGCCCTAGCCGGCAGCAACGTGGGTGTCGGAGGACTACTACATATTGAGACGCAGGCGGCGGTGGCACCAACTGCTGCTGGAGAGGATGTGGTTGGATTTATGGCGCATACGTTGCCCGTTAGTGCATCGCACTTGACGCCGCCGATTACAGCCCGAACTAATGAGACAAATGCTCTGCTGGATCAGACGCCCATTATGTCCGCCTTGGAGCAACCAAGCACCAGCGCTGCCTCCGCCGCCCTGCGCGCCAGTGGCAGCGGGTCCTCTGCACTGCAATTGCATCATCGACGAGTCTCTCCTCTGTCCTTGGATGCAATTGGTGGCAATCTGGACGATAGCCTGGCTGTTATTGGTGTAACTAATGGCAGTGGCAGCGGAGTGCCCACATCCCTGGAACTGCCCATAACGGTGACAAATCCGGCAATTGCGCCTCGTTCCACAGTCGCTGATATGACGAAATTTGTGCCGTTCCAGTAGCTGCTGCAGCTGGAGGAACTATCCGATGATTGGGATAGTCTCGACGATGACGACTAGATAGCAATTGGTCCAGTCAATAATGAATTATACACACATCTGGTAGCGCCATAAGCCAATCAATGTACATGCCAAGGCAAATAGCAAGAGAGTAGAGAGAGAGCAGCACAGCAATAGAAACTAGAATATTTGATGTACATACCAACGCATTCGCTCTCTCTCACTCTATATCTGCATATAATGCACGTTTTTTTTTTTTGCTTTGCAACTGTAAAGCAAAGCTTAGACTAAGGCAATATAAATATGAGCGGGCAGCATAGCAATAGAAACTTCAATTGTGCACTGTATACATAAGTCACTCGCTCTCGCTCTTGCTGTTTACAACATGCGCTCAGCATAAGCGAATACAAATAAGCGAACGCTTAGTATAAAAAGAATAAGTAAGAGGTAGTTGATAATAGCAACTTTCGTTCTCTCGCTCTGTCTTTTTGTGAGTATGCAATATGCATAAGCTATGCTATTTTTAAAATTGCAAATAGAAGTTAGACTAAGACTATTATAAAAGGAACGAACAGGTTAGAAACAAAAAATACTTGCTGTATAGACTAACGCGATCTCCCTCGCTCTTACTAACTCGGTGTACAATATATGCTATTTTTTTTTTGCAAGGCAAATATAAAGCAAAGCTTAGATTAAGCCTGTAGAAATAAGTGCGAGCAGGAAGCAGAACAGAAATTAGCATACTTAAGAATTGAGAAGCAAAAGAATAGAAATATTTATATATATATATATATATACATATAAATGTTTTAATTAACTAAATACCCAAATTACATGTGACACTGATAAAGAATATATATGACTAACTATATTTATATATGTATGTATAATGTGTGTATCCAAATACAAGCAGCGAAAACAGAGATAGTTAAAGAGAGATAGCAAGCTATATTATAAATATAAAATATTTAAATCTAAATGTTTTGCACCAAAGCAACTTAAATGAGTTAAAACACATTTTAAATAAATTTAAACATAAATACACAAATAATTACAATAGTAGAAACTTAAGTATAAAAATATTAAATATAAATTATATAAAACACCTTAATTTTTTTTTACATAAAGCAAATGCAATTGTAATGTATTTAGTTAAAAAAAAAAAAACAAATATTTTAAAATTAAAAAATATATGTGTAAAAAAATTTGATTTATATTTCATTTCAAGGAACTGGGGTTTTCAGCAGGAACTGGTTCATGAACTAGAAAAACGTTTAAAAAAAATAATCAAAATAACGCAGTAAATTTAAAAATAATTGTTGCTGGAACCTGTTGATGAACTTGTGAACGGGTTATTTATCTGGATCATGAACTGGTTCATGAATTAACGATTAACGGCATTGTGAGCCGATCGCAAAAGCTTTAACAGCGTGAAACAGGGTATGCAAATGCCACGTGTTTCGTTTGAAATGCTGTGTGCCGATTCCACGTGTTCCAATGCCTGGATTTTGGGTCCTGAGCATTGGCAATCAAAGTTGCTTTGACAGCTCTCAATACGAGAGCCAAACAAAAATAATAATGCTTATAAGAAAAATCGACAATAATAAGGAAAACAAAAATAAATATAATCTTTAAGCAAACGAAAAATAGGAACTTGGCAAAGTACCAAAGGAAGAGAAGCAAGAAGAGGCTAAAGAAGAGAACGAACAGCGCGGCAAGCCGAAGAAAACGATAAATTCCCAAAGTGCAATTGAGCTCAGATAACGTTTATACGCACTTTATATATACCCTGTATATATAGATAGAATACCTTGGATAGTCAGTATACATACCCTGTACGAAGAGGAGCCGAGAAGAAGCTGTAAGAAAACCAAGTAAAAAGCTCTTGCAACCGCGAAGTATATACCCTGTACATATAGAATAGCTTGCGTGCGAACTCTATATACCCTGTAATTATAATAGCGGAAGACGAAGTGTCGAGCAGCTAAAGGTAGACGAGTGCTAATAATAGCTGCGATACCCTGTATATAGAATATATTTTGGATACTTACTCTCTATACCCCGTAAGAAGAGCGAAAGAAGTGAGCCAGCAGCAAGTTAAAACATATATGTGCGCTATATACCCTGTAAGATAAGCACAAGAGCGGATAGGCAGAGGAAGAAAATCGAATTCTCCTACCTACTCTATATACCCTGTAAGAACAGAAGTAAAGGAGCAGAAGCAAGTAATAAATATACCCTGTATAAGTAGTATTAATAGAGTATACACAGCCTGTATACCCTGTAGTTAGAGAGAGAAAGAGGTAGTGAGAATGTCTTCGGAATTAACACCTCTGGATGAGGAGGATAACGCAGCCGTCGATATGCTCTTAGAGATTGGCGATGTGAACAGCTGGGACATCAGCTGGGATCTGGATGCAGATATAATGGATGTGCTCGATGTGGTCGGCCAGGAGCCGCTGGATCAGCAGCATCAGCATCAGCAGCAGCAGCAGCAGCTACAGCAGCTGCAGCAGCCACAGGAACAGCTAGTGGAGCAGCAGCAGGTGGTGGAGGTGCAACAGCAGCAAGAGCGGCAGCAGCAGCAGCAGCTGCAGCAGGAACAGGAACTGGAGCTGGGATGGAGCTCAGCAGATGAACAGGACTTGATTGAGCATATACCACAGTCGGTTATAATGGAAGAGTCCTATGTGGAAATCGAGATGGAGCTAGCTCAGCTGGATGGGTATGAGGAGGACGAGGAGGCCGAGCGGACGCAACTGGAGGAGGTGCAGCAGGCGGAGAAGCAGCTGCAGCAGGACCAACTGTACGTGCAACAAGTGGCCATCTCAAGCCCGTGGACAGTAGTTGCGCCACTGACCACCAGCTCGACAGTGGATGTGCTGCGTCTGTGCTTCGCGCGCATCGCCGGCAACGAGTATCGCATCTACGATGCCTTGAACAATGCGGGCTACCAGCCGATGGCGGGACCGCCGTTGATAATCAATGGCTTAAACAGCAAGCTGCTGGAACAGCTGCCCGATGGCTTGCAGCTAACGGAGAACTATGTGCACATCTTTCCCTATAGCGCTCTGGCGGAGCACGTCAAGCAAATGATCCAGGAGGAGACGGGCGCAGATGTGGCTGAACTTCTGAACAACTCCGATTGCCAGCTGGGCATTGAGCTGGTGCCGGACGCGGAATGGAACATTATGTGCGTGGGCCGGCGTGAACGCGTGCAAATGGAATTCCACTCACACACAATACCCATGGAGCAGCACCAGCAGCAGCAGCAGCAGCACAGCGGCATCAACATCTTTGGCGAGCCAACGCGCATCTCATTGACCATTGCCAATACGGAGATCGTGCTAGCCAACGAGCAGATCCTGGAGATGTCCCACAAGCCGGAAATCAACATCTTCTTCTATGCGAACAGCAACTGCATCTACGTGCTCAACGGACGCACTCTCTTCGAGCACACCGAGCTGGGCAAGCACGTCCTGCCCATCAGCAACATCGATCTTATACCGTTCTCTCCGCCGCATTCCGTATCCATTGTCTGGGATGCCAAGGATGACTAATGGGGCCAGAATCGGAGACTGGATAATGGGAGAGTGAAGACTGAACACTGCAGATATATATACATACATACATATATATATATATGTATATATATATATATATGTATATGTATATAGTTTAATATAGTGAATAGAAATCATCTTAAGCTCTATTAATCTGTAAGATTTTGATTTAAGTTTAGGTTCTTGAATAAATGTTGGGATTTTCGTCTAATCAAGAGACAAATAGGAGACATCGGATTGGAAATTGTTTCACTTAGCTCTGCATCTGTCTCGAGTATCAAATCGTGTATATCGTATCTTTATCTCTTATGTCTTGTCTTTTATATCGTATATCATATCAAGTACCGCCTCTGTAGTACCTCTGTGTTGTATATCGTATCTCTATCTCCTGCATTCTATATCGTATATCGTATCTCGTATATCGTATCTCTATGCCGTCCTTAGCATCTTACACCAAGTATCTCATACGTTATTCGCATCTCGTTTATCGTATGTTTAACTCTTATAGCTAGTCTCTCGTATATCGTATATGTATTTCGTATTTCGATATCGTTTATCGTATTTAGTGTCTCTCTATTGTTACTTAATTCACTTCGTCTCCCTCACCCTATCCTCCATCTCTAGTTCTATGCTATTGTCATACTGTTCTACTGTTATACTGTGCTACTGTTATATTATCGTATTACAACTCCTTTGCAACGTTAAATGCTCGAATCTTCTTTTTTAATATATTTTTTATTGAATTTTCAACAAATTGAATGACATTCGGTTTGTACGCCTGATTAAATAAACAATTAAAAAATAACAATTGCATTCGAATGAATAAACAATGTGCTATATAATTAGTTGTTTCTTATTGGTTTTCAAATATAATTATTCATTTATTATACTATATAATTATTATTATTATTGTTGTGGTTTTCAATGCACTCAACTTTCAGATTAACTTTGATTCTAATTGTTTCTTCCTTTTTACAATTTGTTTAAACATAACAAAAAACGCACGCGGAAAGGAATTAAAAGAAAAAAATGATGTCTAAACACAATAAATAATAATTAATTAGAATTACTTTCGTGGCTGATATACATATATACATTAATATATATATAAACTATAATTGAAATTTTCATTTTGGATGGCAACAAATAAATACTTGAAATTTTTTTTATACATGCAAAGATGTTGTTGCACTGTTTCAACTGATTCGATGTGAATATTAATTAAAAAGTTTGCAATATTCGAAAATAACAAAAAATACTTGGTTTGCGTAAATAATTAAATTTAACTTCATAAAATGAATATTAAAAACGATCGGGCTACACAATTTTGGTTTGTTGTTGTTGTTGCTGATGTTTGAGTGTTTATTGTTGTTGTTGCTATTTGGTTTGAGCAGCGAGTGCTTAATTGCTTTAAGCTCTACTTCGTTTTCTTCTTATTCTTCCACTTCTACTTCTTGTTATTGATTTTTGATCACTCTACCGAAATAGTTGTTGTAGTTTGTCGTCGAATACTTGGGCTATTTAGAGCTTGGCGCAAATCTCGTTTGTGAATTCAGAGCACTTGGCCTTGCCACCGAGATCGCCCGTTAGATATTTGCTCTCCTTGATGGTCTCGAACGCGGCGCGTTCAATCTTATCGGCATACGAATTAAGCTCCATGTGACGCAGCATCATGACAGCAGATAATAGCAGAGCTGTTGGATTTGCCAAATCCTTGCCCGCAATATCGGGCGCTGTGCCATGCACCGATTCGAATAGAGCACCATTCAAGCCCATATTGCCCGAAGGCGTTAGGCCAAGACCACCGACCAGGCCGGCGCACATATCAGATAGAATATCACCATACAAATTGGGCATGACCTGCACAGTTAGAGAAAGGGAGAGAAAGAGAGATTAGTTAGACAACGAAATATTTTAAATTTGAAAGGCGTTGCCATCTTTGGCGGGCAATTAACGTAGATTTTACTGACAAGTGCTGCCAGCAAGTTTAGCAATTTAAAAAACAACAGATAGTATCGATTTATTGAATAGAAGTGTTGCCAGCCCGTTTATAAATTTCAAATTAAACCACTCGTTTTCGATTAGAGTATCGATTAATTGCCACTTACCAGAACATCGTATTTGCCTGGATTCTGCACCATGTTAAGGCACACCGTGTCCAAGTAGCGTTCTTCGAACTGAATTTCCGGATACTTTTTCGCTGTATCGCGCACGCAACGCAGGAACAAACCATCCGACATACGCCTGTCAAATGAAAAATTGATATGTCTACCTAGATAATAGTTCTACTACTTACATAATGTTCGCCTTGTGTACCACGGTCACCTTTTTGCGATTATTATTCTTGGCATATTGGAAGGCATAGTCAGCCACACGCATCGACGCTTCCTCGGTAATGAGCTTAATACTCTGGACTACTCCATCCACAATCTCATGCTCGATGCCAGAGTATTCACCTTCAGTGTTCTCACGAATTGTGACCACATCGACATCATCATAGAGGGTCTTATAACCCTCCAGACTGCGGCAGGGACGCACGTTGGCATACAAATTGAATTCTTTGCGCAACGCCAGGTTAAGTGAACGATGGCCCTTACCAACAGGCGTCATCAGGGGTCCTTTAAGGCCGATCTTATTAGTGTTGACCGAATCGATGGCCGCCTGGGGTATGCCGAATTTGCCATCGGGACCCTGCGTAGTAAAATGTTTAAAATTGATATTCAAATTTTCACAGCGCTGCCATCTTTGTGCATAGGGGCGGGCAAGTGACTACCAAAGTTGCCAGTAAGTCTAGCATAATGAACTTTTTAGTTTTCGATAATATCGATTACTAATTGATAGCAGGTTTTTACGCGCCGTATTCAAAAAAAAAAATTCAAAAATCAAATGATTAAAGACTTACACGCACGGGCGTTACATCAACGGCTTCCCACTCGATGGGTACACTGGCGGCAGTGAAAATTTTTTGCACTGCAGCAGAGATCTCTGGGCCGATTCCATCGCCGGGTATGAGTGTTACCTTTCGAGCTCCGGATGCATAGCCGCGAGTGGCAGTGGGCTTTGTGTTTACCTGCAACCAAACAAATGCAAATTAATCACAATCTCAATAAACATCAACGACACAGGTCACAATATGCAGAGCCATAGCGACTATCTATCAGGTTGCCAGATGTCTGGTTACATAAGCGACATCTCGCGCATGCAAAAGGAAGCAGCGGCGGCGCTGCAGCCAATCGTTAGTTGAGGTTAAGCGCGCGTCTGGCAAGGCGGGCAGGAAGGCAGACGGCAGCGTTGCCATCGCTATTTATGCAACCCGTGCGAAATGTGGAAACTGATAAGCTAAAGAATTTAATTTATAAGGGTGTTTGTTTTCCTAAATCAACGAAACTTGAATCGGTTTTTTTTCTGGTTTTGCAACTAACAAAGTCTTAGCCTATGTAGGCAGTCATCTATCACCCCCCGCCCCCTCCCTCATTCACGCGGTGTGTTATGTAAACGAAGCAGTTGCTTGTCTTTCTTGCGCTCCCCGTTTTTGGCCAAAGATTGTTGTTTCTGTTGTTATTGATGCTGTTGGAAGTGCACGCACCTTGGCTTTAATTGTTGCTCCGGCCAAGGACGTTGACTCGGGCGCCGCCTGAAAACCCAATTGCTGCAACTGCCAAATATATTTTTTGCGTAATGTGTTGTTTTTGTTGTTTGCACGTTGGGGGTTTAAGTTAAGAACAAAATCAGAAAGTTAGTTCATGATGTATTATTATTAGTTATTCCTTTTTGTTTCTTCTCCCCCCTAGAAGGTCGCACGTAATCACAAATGGGCAAATATTGCATGTGTGTGAGTGTGTCTGTGTGTATGCGGGGGAGAAGGCGAAGAAGGAGAATTGCGAAAGGGTTGGCAATCGCGGTACACAACGTTTGCTTAACTAATTTGGCAAGCTGTTAATAATACTTTGTTAAACTCTCTTATGGTCTTACAATTTTCTGTATAAATCTAGCAGCCATTGTGTTGCGTTTTTTGGGTTATTTGCACTTGGATTATTTTCACGTATAGAAAAAATTTGACTACTCGCACGTCTGAGACTTTACTCTGCGCCCGCTGTAAAGCCACCTAGCGGAAAAACTGTCAAATTTAGAGCATGTCCGATACGTGCGACTTATTGGTTATCGAGCATGTTTTCTTGGCGTTACCATACCTTTAAATTGTCACATGCTTAACTACAACTGCAAGTTATATACATTTAATTTATAAATTATTAGAAGGGACTACTGCTGTGTTATCGATTGAAATGAAAATAAGGAAAATAATTCAAACGTAAATAGTCGACAATTATTAAAATAACATGAAGTAGGTCATATAGGTGTTGCAGCGATTTTATATAAATTAAAGTAGTATTTGAATTTCAACATTTCAATCAGAGACGCTTGCACCTAAGAATTTGATTTGTTTTTTTTTTTTTAATCTTAATTTCGATGCTTGATCGGCAACGATGACATCGCTGAACAGGCAACAAAGAATCGAATCGACACCGCAGTACAGACATATCGATAATATCTTTTGCAACGTTGCGTGTTACAGCCACAGTTTAAATTAATTTCGGCTCTTGCGTAGATTTTACGCCGTATTACATATAAAATATATGTAAATTAATTATCTGTGTTTTAATCAAACGCCTACGGCTATTTCTACCCATTGTTACGGTAAATAGTTCGTGTGCAACGCTTAACGTACCAACTAACAAAATAAAATTAACCAACCAAACCGACAGACAAAGCTACGCTACGGTCGTTACTGACAAAGTGCGCTGTGGAACGGCCAATGCAGAAATTTGTCATACGCGAGTATTTTTTTTTCGCGTTCAGTTTAGGTTTTAGTTACCTGCGCGCAACAACCCCGTCGCCTTAGCCGCTGCGTTTCCAATACTAAAACTCGAACATATTCCAAATGTGTGCATTGCATGAGCAACAATACCGCTCCGCGTTGTAATTTGCCAAACTCTAAACCGTGTTAATAAGCGAAAGCATCCGCAGCAACATTTAATTCTCGGCGATTGTTTGAGGCGCGCGTCTTCTAATTCTCATTTTTTCTCTCGCATTTTTGTTTGTTTATTGCAAACGGATAGCAGTTAAAGGTAAGACAGATAGTGTATTTAAAATGTGTATTATACGTGTTTAAAATGTGCACTTTGCATTGCATCTCAGCTGCTTGGCCTAATCACGCACACACTCACAATCATCGTACACATACAGCCACACGCGCGAATACACACGCGCATACACACATTTATAGATGTGTATAGCGCACGCACATATACAGATGTATATCCATTTGACAGCACACTACACACTACGGCTGTTAGCGACAAAGTGCGACTCGTAGCCAGCTTGCCTACTTTGCTTAAAATGCGCCGAGTTTCTATTTAATATCATTATTTTTTCGGTTTTTTTGCTTGATTTTGCTTGGCTGCTTGCTTTCTTAATTTGTTGTCTTAGTTTTTTGGGAGAGAGAATTGTACATTAACCATATTGGAAATATTGTTTGGATTTACAGTTGCTCCCTGTTGGTGCTGTTGTTTGTTTGTTTTCTTTGTTGTTGGAGTTGCAACAATTCGCAGCACGCTGGAGAAACAAAATAAACGCTCCCAGCTCATACGCGACAAAATGGTGTTGGCCGAGCGCAACACCGGTGACATAGTCCGCAATGGCCGCCGCTCACGTGGACCCAGCCCCAATACACATCAAAGTGGTGGTGGCAGCGCTGCCACTGCTGCCGCGGCCGCTGCCGCTGGTCATGCCCACAATGCAGGCGGCCTGGGAGTAGGTGGCAACTCTGTGAATACAGGCACAGCCAATGAAAAGGCTGCAGCTGCTGTCACAGGAGCCGGCACGCCCGAGAGCTCCGATGATGATAACTGTGAGTATATAGATGACTTTATAAATATGTGCACATCATTTTTATTAAAATTTCCTACTTCTTTATCCTAACTTGATCTCCATGTAGCCACCAAACGTAATGGCAAATCCAAGGCGAAGCAATCAGAATACGAAGGTAAGCACTATGATGCCTATTCAGTAATTCAGCAATTCAATTTCATTTATGCTTGCAGAGAAAATTCGCGTCGGACGCGACTATCAGGCTGTGTGTCCACAGCTCGTGCCTGAACTGGATCGTCGCCCAGAGTTAATGAATGAACGCGCGCTGTTAGTTTGGTCGCCCACAAAGGAAATACCCGACATGAAGCGTAAGCAATATACGAGAGAAATAACTAGGGCTATCTATCTATAAAACTAACTTCTCTTCAACGTGTCCTTCAGTTGAGGAATACATTTCGGTGGCCAAGGACAAGTATGGCTATAATGGGGAACAGGCTTTGGGCATGTTGTTCTGGCATAAACACGATTTGGAGCGCGCTGTCATGGATTTGGCCAACTTTACGCCTTTTCCCGATGAATGGACCATGGAGGATAAAGTCCTGTTCGAGCAAGCCTTTCAATTTCATGGCAAAAGCTTTCATCGCATACGCCAAATGGTAGACAACTCTCTCTCTCTCTATCTATCTATCTATATATATATATATTTATTTATGTATGCAATGCACAGATATAGCTAATAATTGTGTTTATATTACTAGCTGCCAGATAAATCGATTGCCAGTTTGGTCAAGTATTATTATTCGTGGAAGAAGACGCGACATCGCAGCAGTGCAATGGATCGGCAGGAGAAAATGATTAAAGCCGCTGTCAAGGATGGCTCTGAGAATGGAAGCGAGCTTGGCAGCAATGAGGAATCGGATAACGATAACGATAAGGTAATTATTGCTTAGTACTTACAAACTCGATCGATAAATCGAATGAAAACAAAACCAAAAAACTCTTAAAAACTAAACAACGACAATAAGCAAGACCACTCCTCCGAGACATCATCCTACTCTTCTCCATTCCACCATACATCAATACATTAACACATTAATACATCTATACATCTATACATTCATATACATCTACACGTAGAATTATTATCAGCTCGTTCCCATGCATACGTTTACCTAACTATAGGTCTCTTCTTCATCTACGCTTACCTACATACAGAAATGCACATGCACACACATTTACACACACCTCTTTCTTGAGTTGTCTTGAAGAACCAAAATCTGAATTTTGTAAACTTTGAATTAGCACATAGCTAGCTTATGAATTGAATTTTATAATTTAGACAGATCCATAGCATAGTTAATTTGTATCTATTCAAATGGAGATTATGATTGCATTTAACATCTACCACAGAAATTGACTGAAGAAGAAATCTGAGTTTATAGACGCTAAACCCACAACAGGCTCAGTTCGAAAAGTATTAAAATAATATTGAATATATATATATATCTATATAATTATATATCATTAAATAGTTCAGTTTACTCTTCTGGGGACTAAATGGATAGACAGACAGACAAAAAGATAAGTACCCAGATTAAAAGCTGATTAGATAGATAAATAGACAGATATATGGTTAGATATATGGATATAGGTACATGTACATATATAAATTGATATTAAGAAATAGCTACTTAGGTAGACAGAAAGAATATATAATCAGATATAGAATATAGGTAGGTAGATATAGGTATATACGTATAGGTATATATACGTATGTATATTTAGGTGAAAATCAACTTCTTAACAAAAATGCTGCGCATTTGCTATAAATTTTTTTTTATCATTTTTGTAGAACTCAACAAAAGACTATGTGTGTGTGTCTGGATGAGTGCGTGTGTGTGTAAGTGTGTATGTGCTTGTGTGTGTGCGTGTGCGTTCGTGCAAAAGAGGCGTGGCTTTTGAGTGGACTAAAATCAATACCAAATATAGATGCGCCTATGTCAATACGTTGATATAGCAAAATTCAAATCATACAAATGATTGATCTATATATATATAATTAGTATAATTTTTTATACTCTTTGCATAGATGGACAAATCTCCGAATATACATACATACGTATATTATTGTCCTTCTAATGATTATATAGGAGCATAACTTAGTCAACTTCTTTTGATCCACCATGAATTGGTTTTTATGTCAAACCGGTTCACAGAATCCTAACTGAAAGCGTATTAAAATCTACAAAAATGGCGAAAGTTCAAGTAGAAGTGTCCGGCTAGAAGATACCCTGTTGCTGACTCTTATCTTCTATCTAGACAGCCAAATGCATGTGCTTCTTTCTAAAGTTTATTGTAAACCCTCAATTGAGAAACTTGTGTCTTTCTGTTCTGCTTTTGATGAAGTATGACCCAAGAATATGTACGTGAGCCGAGGCAGATACAAGTTTAACTTTACAATTCTTGCAAATAAACCCAAAACCCAAATTGAAATTCAACTCATATTGCTCGAATCGTAACGTGACCCACAAACGGGGGGTTATATGCATAAATACTGAACTCATATAGTTCATCATGAACGGCATTCCTTTCCTCAGTTATCGATAATCGAACGATTCGTTCTTCTAAGTGATTCAAACTGTTCGGCTTAGTCCTGTATTCCCGAGTGATTGGTTAATGATCACTAATTAAGTGTCCAATGACAATTAACTATATGAACTGATTCAGCAAACATTGATTTATTTGAATGCTTTGCTTGCTTTTTATTTGTTTAATTTGAAGTCGATGTAACTCTACAGTTCACAACACGCAAAGGAACAATTGAACTGGTTCCGCAAACTGAAATACAGCTAGTATCTTTTTCTTTTGCTTCCTTTTTGAGGTATACATGGATGGTACAACTATATGCATTACTATATAGTATATATACTCTATAGTTATCTTTGACATTTTCTCTAGGGTAGTTAGGTTTCGCTTTATAGATATAGAGTATAAATATAGTTCGTTACTGTTTTTCAGATAATCGCCGTGCCTGCATATCTCTCATAAGAACTTACCCACACACCCGCACACACATACACGCACATGCACTCGCACACACAGACGTACAATATTTTTGTATGTATTCTATGCCAAAACGAAAATAAAAAAATTACACTGACCAACATCTTTAAGACTTACACTAACGTACATGAGTGTTTTTTTTTTTAATAATTAAATTTTTTTTTAAGTTTCGAAATTAAGTAAAACAAAAGAAAATTGATATTGCTTGACCTAGACGTAAGGCACATATCTAATATTATTATATACTATAGTAATTTATAACAAATATATTTTGTATTCAACAAAACAAAAACCAAGATCGAAAAAGCTTATTCGAAAATGATATATATGAATCAAATAGTTATATATTCAAAAATCTATATATAGAGAAAGATATATTGAGTTATTGAGCTTAAATGAATGTTGATTGATAATCATTAATGATAATATGATAATGATAATGATAATGGTAATGATAATGATAATGATAATGCTGATGATAATCACAAAAGTAAATGCTAACATTAAGAAACAAAAAAGAAAACTACAAAAATAATAAACAACAAATATATTCATATGTGTTTCTTATTCATAAAATCAAAAACAAAAAAAAAGAAAAAAAAAAATAAAATCACAAGTTGAAAATGCAATAATAAAAATAACAAAGAAAATATAAACATTAAAAATAATAATTTTAAACATAGCAAATAGTTCACATAGTTCTACCTCATATCGAGAGGCTTTGGCGTGCAGTGATAGTTAATCAATTATACATCTATCTATCTGTCTTCATCTAGAAGTTGAGAATGTTTTCCGATTTGCTCGAGCACTTTCAGATCTATCTGTTGACAGGTTTCATCAATGATGAACAATGGAAAACTGCTTAACTCTTTGCTTATTTTCTGTTTAGCTACTCAATGAAATGTATTGGGTCGAGAAACGAGCTTATGTCAAAGTTGAAATTTCAATCGAGCATTAACATTGTTCTACAATAGAGCATTAGACAGTTATATGATGAGCTTAAGAGCCTAATACACTCGTACACACATACGCACATACGCATACACACACGCACACATATATATTCATACTAATGTTCCCGTTATGCCTCCTGATTGTCCTGCTAACTGAATAGTCATTTTCAAATTATTGTCAAACATGTATATATAAATTTATTTTTATATGTATACCTGTATATATTATATATATACAATTTCAATGATTATTTTCTAAGCTTTATTGTGATTGATTTAATTATTGGCTTTTTGTGCCCGAATTTTTGCTTAATTTATGTTTAGTTTTTCCGTTTTACAATATATAATATATTTATATATAAATGCCTCGCGTCCCGTTCCCTTTCCAAAAGCTTCCCCTTAGAACAGCTCGATAAGTTATTCATTTGTAATGGAACGTCGCACGTTCCGCGCTCACTCAATGCTCGCAGCATTTACACTGCGTTCCATTCGTTTTCATTTGTTCCAAGTTTAAAATTAATTTCTCTGAACTAAATGAAAAGTTAATATTTCTGCATTTTATTTGGACCTAAGCTGAAATCTTAATATTTGTACACAAGCAAACAAACAAAAACCTATAAACACGCACACACACACACACGTACGTGCAACTCCAACGCAACTTCAGCAAGAGAGTGAGAGAGTGTAAGAGAAAAAATTCCTTAAAAAAAAAAATCAAATGAGTTTGATCAACAATTGCCCAAGCATTTATAAATTCCGCATGCAGATGTGTATGTATGTGTAAGAGCGTATGTGTGTATGTATGTATGTTTATTTGAGAGTCGAGCGTTTCAGCGTTTTATTGCAGTGCCCTTTTAGTACCGAAAACAAATCAAAACAAATAAAGTCCTAAACACAAAAATGGATCAAATAAAAAATACCAAAAATACCAAAGACAAAAAGTACCACACAAAACACGCTTCGAAAATACACATGATGCAGAGAAAGCAGCCGTTTCCAAACTGACGACACACATATGCATGCAGACACACACACAAGCACACATATATATACACACATTCACACGCATACATATTCATGCGCTTCGAAGTCCAAATATAGCAGCAGAGCAAGCTTTGAAAATCTATGGGAAAAGGAAGAAAAAAGCAACAACAATAACAGCAATTTAATGAAGAGTTAGAAGAAGAAAAAAGTAGCACATTTTGTTTGTGCAATATTTTCGTTTTTGTTTTTTGCTTTGAAGAGTTGATGATGTTCAAGTGGGGGTGGGGTTTTGCTGGAGGTGGGGGCTTGTGTGCGAGCTTATAGTAATTTTGAGATCTTAGACAGCAACATACAAACAAACTACCTTTTAAGTGTTACCAAGTGAACTAAAGCAAAAAAAAAAACCAACAAACTGTTTTTTTCTCTTCTCTTTGCATTTACTGTCAAAATAAACCAACACAAACACATTAAAAAAAAATAATACCATTGTCCGTAAAAAAAAACCAACAATGATCCTTTAATATAACGTAACGTACGATCGTCAATCAATAATGAAAAACCCCAAACGATATCCAAATTCAATGAATTCGCTTGCTGCTGCTGCTATTTGCGACTGCGTCGGTATTAACCAAACAAATCAAACCAAAAAATCAACAAAAATAAACGACAGAGGGCGCATAACAACAATGGTGGCTTGCCTGGAAGCAATGGAAGTGCCAACAGCAGCAATGCAAATGGGGATAACGGAAATAACAATGGCGGTAGCAGCGGCAGTGGCGTTGGCGCAGGCAGTGGCAGTAATACCAATAACAGCAACAACAACAGCAGCAGTAACAACAGCATTGAACTGGATGCCGAACAGCTGTACATCTCTACGCATGCCTTGGGCGATGATATGCTCGGCTTTGCCCTTCCTGGCTTTGGTCTGACCAGCGACAATGGCATCGAGTTCGATAACGATAACCACAATCACAATTCTGGCAGCACTGGCAACAGCAACGGCAGCGCCCGACGTGTCGTGGGCGGTTTTTGCAAAAATTGCAACGTTGTCTGCTACATATTGTTCGATTCGCCATTGGGTCGCATGTGCAAAAGTTGTCACACGCACTGGAGGTAGATATTCCCATAAAAAAAAACCAACTAGATAAATTATGTTGTAAAATTCGAAGCTAATGCTAAGTTTTTCTCTCTCTCTCTCTTTCTCTCTCTTTCCATTCTTACGCTCTTTGAACTCGTACAAAAACTGAATGTTGCATAACTTGTTGACCTACGCACGCACTCACATACACATACACACAACCACACACACACACGCACACACACTCTCACGCGTCCATTCATTTTTGATATTGTGCTTGTTGTGCCTCTTTTCCCACCTCTTTCCATTCTCCATTCGATATTTTGTTGTTGTTGCTTTGCTCATGCAATAGACGCACTGGGGACCGACGTCCCATCTCTGGTCCGGATAGCATTGCATCCTCGAAACGTTCCACACACAACAACAACAACAATACAAATAATAATAACAATAATAATAATAATAGCAATAACAATAACAACAACAATAATAGCAGTAACAGCAACAATAACAACAGCAGCAGCGCCACAGCGGCAGATCGTTCCAAGCGTAAACCGCCACGTGGCATGTATATCAATCACGATGATCTCACCGCCCTGGCCGGCTGCAAAAATCCGTGCGAATATTTAGCCGAAGGCGATCGCAAAATAGCCGCCCTAATGGCCGAAGTAAGAAATGTTAAGTTTTTATTTATCTATTATCAACAACAAAAACAACATCAGTAATAACTTTTGTTCGGTTTGATATGCTATTTGGAATGTAGAAGCTTTGTGGACTGAAAAACATAGACGAAATTTACTCTAAGACCCTTTTAACAACTTTGTAGATCGACGTCTGTGCTAGCTGGCGTTCAAAATTCTTGGCCTGGAATGTAAGCTTTGAGTACGTTCCACTTCAATGGAATGTGAAAAGCTTTTGTGTTACATCCCTGTCTATGGAACTGAAATGTCAAAAGCTTTAACTTCATTTTAATCTTGTTAGGATGGAATGACATAAATTCCAGTAATAAAGCTGAAGGCAAAAGCTTGCAATTACATTCCTGTTTAAGCTTTCGACATGTCAGTACATGCTTCAGTGCATTCCACATTGATTACCCTGTAAAGACTTCGAATGTTAGATCAAATGGTTTGTTTGCTTGGTCCTTACATTCCAGTTCGATACGATCTATTTGTTTTGTTAACTGGAAAGTCATTCATAGACTTGACTTACTCTACATACAAGCTTGCGTCAGTCCAGGCTTTTATTATCAATTTCCAAAGCAACAAATTCTTTTAACATTCCAGTATTGATTAAGTTATATTTGCTATATGGTTTTTACAGGGTATGTAAGCAGTATTACAGCGAAAATGTTGCTTTTAACGCTTAAGCATAAGAAACTATGAACTCTAGGGTATGTTGAGCTATATCAGTTCAGTTAAGGAATAAAAGTAAATATTATTAAGTCTTATATAGGGTATCCAGCTAGGCATAATGTTAGTAATTTGTCTTAAATATTTTAAGCTTTACACCTGCTCTTTAACATATTTGTAGGGTATCTAGAGCCTCATCAGTTGTCTTCAAAGGATTTTTGAGCTTTTGCATGTGTTTGGTTTGAAATTGTTCTTTGCCATTTATTTACACACACACACACACATAGACCTGCAGCTTGCATGTCGTATCGTTTATGTCATATCATGCACACATACAAACGCAGCTCATATCGCACACACACACACACACACGTACTTGTACATGTATGGAATTGACTCTGACTTTGACTTGACCGTATTTACGATCTAGACAGACTTGACATCCCGTTTCCCCCCCACTCGCTGTCTCTCTCTTTCCAAACTTTTGGATTTAATGCCCCATGGCCCATTTCACAGATACAAAAGAATAGGCAACTATTGGAACAGCTGGAAAAGGACTGCAGCGACGGCCAGCAGCTAGAAGAGAGCGGCAGCAATGCAGCTAAAGCGACGCCAGCAGCAGCAGCAGGAGCAGGAGAGACGACAGCAACGACGACGTCGACGTCCACAGGCACAGCAACAGCGACGGCGACAGCGACGCCAACAGCAGCAGCAGCAGCCGCAGCAGCAGCAGCAGCAGCAACAACTGCGCAGCCAGCGCGCATTTCACCACGTTGGACAATTGATGAGAATAAAGTCGTTTTGCTTGCATTGCGTGACTATGGCAAAAACTTTCAGGTAAGTGATTAGGCTCAGATTGCCGTTAGGGAGCAATTCAATAATGATTTGATTGTGATCTATTTAGATGATTGCCAAGGTGGTTGGCACCAAGACGGAGGCGCATGTGCGCAGCTACTATGTTACCAATCGACGACGCTACAATCTAGATGAGATCGTTAAGGAATACGAAGCCAAGGCTGAGGAGGCACTGCTCGAGGAGCAGGGCACAGAGGCGGCAGCAACAGCAACCGCGGCAGCAACGGCAGCAGGAGCCACTGCTGCAACTGCGGCTACAGCAGCAACCGCTGCCAACACCTCCAGTGAACCGAGCGAGGAACAGCCGCTATCGAAAAAAGATGAGCCAGCTAAAAAGAAGTCGGACGTGAGCACTGACAGCAGCTCGACAACAGCAGCAACTGCCAGCACAGCTGTAGCTGCCGCAGCGGCAACAGCTGTGGCAGCAACTGGCTCTGCCGCTGGTGCTGCTGCTGCTGCTGTTACTAAAGCAACGCCCACTATAACAATTGTCGACGAATCGGATACGGCGACCAGCTCCTCGGGCAGCGATGCAGTTCAAATTGTTGCCAATTCTGTCTCCACCTCAACGCTCTCAAGCAACAGCAGCAGCAACAACAACAACAACAGCAGCAATAGCAACAGCAACAACAATAGCAGCAGCAACAGCAGCAGCGCCGCGCCCGCCAAAACAGCGACCAACAACAATCACAACGAATTAGCTGACAGCGAGGACTCGTCCCTAACGCTCAAACCAAGTCACGTTCCATCCGCTAAACGTGAAAATTCCGAATTGGTAAGTGAAGACAAGCTTAGCCGCTAAGCAGTTAGTCAAAATTACTCGCTGTAGCTTACTCGCTCTAGTTTACTCGCTGTAGTCAATTCGTTGTCAATAGCCGTTGAGCGCCTTTTATTTACTCGATATAACTTACTCGCATTTGCAGAACTTCTGTAAACTTACTCGTTGACAGCTTACTCGCTGCGAAGTACTCGTTGCTAGTTTTCTGTTGTGCGAGTTGTTTGCATTTTATTCATTCTCAGCTACTCGTTGTACACATCTGAACTTGCACTCGCTAACAATTTTGTGTTCTCGTTGCTTTTTATAGAACACTGCCGATTTGCCGCCAGTCAAGAAAATTGCGCTCGCCGTCGAGTTCCTGGCTAAGTGAGAGCCACGCCCATATACAAAAAAGAGAAAGAAACGCGCCCCGCGTTGGATGGCTGCAAATAACTGATGCCTGTTTAAAAGCCGACACATATAGACATAGATATATATATATATAAATATATATGTATATGCACCTATATATATATCTATATAACGAACGATGGATATTATAGATATATGTATATATATATGTGTATATATATATGTGTATATATATACCCAAAGGTTTTTTTTGGCGTGTGTTAAAAATTTCAGATGTGTCGAGCTCTATTTAGCTAATACAACTTTTTATTTGATATATATCAGTTACACATACATACACACACACACACACACACACGTATATATATATATATATACATTTACTTTTACAATTATCGCTTGCTTAGTTTATTCAGCTTTTTATTATATAATTTTTCATTTTTATTTCTATTTAATTTTTTTTAAAACTTTTTTTTTTGATATTTCTGATCTGCTCAAGTTTTACGTCTTCTATGACAAAAGTCTTATTTAATTTTTTTATTTTGTTTATAAATATATGTTTTATTGTAACAATCAGATCGTGCGCTTGTAAAGGCGCTGCGATTACATTTAATCGTTTATCGATAGCTATTTCGATAGGTTTTCCTATTTCCTTTTTATTAAACACACAGACGAGGGAGACACATGGTTGGCTAGATGACTGCTAAAGAGTTTGCTACTAAAGCATTCGCATACACACACACACACACACACACTGCACAACAAAAACAACAAACAAACAAACAACCTACAACAACAAACAACAAAGAAACACGAAATATGCCAACAGCAACAGCAGTAGACAAAACAAAAGTTACTACTACAATTTATGTATTTAATAATTATTAATATTAATATTAATATAAAAAACAAAGGAATACAAAAAAAAACAAGAAAACAAACGTGAATATTGTATAATTAATAATGTAAAACAAACACAAATCCTTTTTTTTTCATGCTGTAATTTTAGGCATAGGCAACATTTTTGGGTAACGCTTGTATACAACATACAACAACAACACACTGAAAAACAACGACAAGAACACACAACAACTGATAAATTCACAGCGACATACAACAACACAACCAATATGTTGTAGAAAATGAACAACAACAACACACAACTAACAATGGGGAAGACGACAAACACATACAACAGCCACATCACAGAGCAAAGCAACTACACAACACTATAATGTACAAGAAGAAGAAGAATCACAGACATGGATAGCAACATGACACAACAACAACGCAGAGTAGAACTCAGAGAAGAAGAAGCACACACAAGAACAAGAACAACACACCACTAAACAGCAACAACAACAAGAACAGAGAAAACACAGAGAGCAACAGCGCAAGGTGTTTGTTATGGTACAATTTTTCTTATAAATTAAACAATATTTTTTTTTTATATATATAAGCGATTTTTAAGAGTTTTTTAAGTTTGGGTTTTAATTTTGGTTTCTGCCACGAAATATACACTCACACACACACACACACCTAAGCATGATAACAAATTGTATACAAGAAGCTAAAAGAAAACCCGTTTAAGAACTTACAGAATAAAATAAATTAAAATAAAATAAATATTTGCAAAAGTGTTTATATCTGAGCCGAACGAGTTGTTCCACTCGCTACCTTTGGGCTTAGACTAACGAGTTGGCATAGAAGTGCTGCAGACTGGGCAAAGCATAAGCGTTACATTTGGGGTTCACTGAGTGAGTGGCGTCTGCTTGTCAGTATGCAGTGAATACGATCAACGCTGTACTTTCATATTGGCTAATATTGGCTAAAAGCAACGAGCCGATCTACTTGTTACCTGAGTCTTAAGCTAACGAGTAACAACTGCGATGTCCAAAGTGCATGCCGCTCTTCGTTTCTTCCACTCGTTACTCGTTAGCGAAAAAAATGCAGCTCCCGAAAGTATGCATTGAGCTTTTGACCCGGGTTTGCTCTTGCAGCATATTCAAGTGCACATAAGGGATGCTAATCAATGTATGCAGGCACACACACACACACATACACATGCGTATACTTATGTATGCTGTGGAAGAGCAATAAAGCTCATCTATAAATGCAAAAGTTTTGCCCGGGTTCATGCATATGGAAAAAAAGCTAGCTGCCCACAGGCCAAATAGTTCGTTCGAACTAATAACCGAATTAGTGACACTATTTTGTATATTTTATATATATGTATTTATTTATGCATGCAGAACTCATCAGTCAAACTAGCGAGCGGAAGTGTGAACAAGAAGATCGAGTGTAAGCTTAAATGAACGAATTGGCTGAGATGGAAATAAGATTCGTAATGTTTAGTGTAAGACGAAGCTCTACTCGTTACAGGTGGGTAAGAGATAGAGAGCGAGAGAGAGATTAGTGAGAGAGAGCAAGGAACAGCGAGCAATCAACGCTTCAGACTTAGCTTCATTCATTTTTAGATTCATTGTTGAAGATAGCGAAATAGATACAGACAGACAGACAGACACTGTATGAGCGAGAGATAGAGACAGAGAGAGAGAGAGTAGTAGTGAGGGACACAGGAATATTTATAAAGACAGAGACAACCGAGAGAGCGAAAGAGAGGCAGAGGGTATACACGCGTCGTCATCATTGAGTTGCCTGTCGAAAATCATGACAGGAACAGGCTGCGCAGCGAGCTTTGCCTAAGCTTTCGCTTTCGCTTTCATATTGCGATGCGCTGCGATGCGGAGCGAATCAAAGCTTTGATTTGTTGCTTCCCACACGCACAAGCACATAGAACAAACGAAAAAAATGTCAACAAATTGTGTTGAATGTTATTCAAATCGTACAAAAAATATCGCAGTTAAATATGAATATATAATATATAATATATAAAATCAAATTCAAAATTATACGCGAAAAACTACTGAAAATAAAACAAGGCAAAGAAAGCAAAAAACAACTCAAGCGACAGCAAAGGCAAAAAGATAAAGGCAGCGGCAGCGGCAACGGTAGCAGCAGTAGCGCAGCAGCAGCAGCAGCAGTAGCAGCAGCAGCGGCAACGGAAATTAACTAAAAAAACGCTAAAAAAGGAACAAAAACAAAGTCAAAGACCAAGCAAAAAAAAAAGTAAGAGAAGCATACGTAAAAGCAGAGCCAATTAAAACAATAGCAAAGGAACACAAGCAAGAACAACAACAACTACAACAGCAAAAGCAACGGCAGGCAAAGACAGGAGAGCATAGTGCACTGAGCAGTGAGCAGCGAAGCAAAAGGAAAAGAGCAACAAGCAGCAACAGCAACAATTGTGCATGCGTTTGCTTGTGTGTGCGTGAGCGAGTGAGTGCGTGTGAGTGTGCGTGCTTGTGCGTGTGCGTGCGAGTGTGTCCGTGTGCGCTTGCATATCTGCTTTTAAGGCTTTACCCGTGCTGAAGCAACTGCCTCCCACCCCCGAATATTGATGAAAAAAGTGAGCATGTTCTTCAATCGAATGCCGTTGCTCAGTTGCTTTAGCGGTACTAGCGAAAGCTGCGAGGAGCTGTTGCCATTGAGTGGGGCCATGCGCAAGGAACCCGTTATATTGAATGTCTACGATTTGTTTGCCATCAATGAGTATGTAACGCCACTTGGTTTGGGCATCTTTCATACTGGCATTCAGGTCTACGGCACGGAATATACTTTTGGCGGACATAGCTTAAGTAATACGGGCATCTTTGAGCTTGCGCCGCGCAGTGCTCAACAGGAGCTGGGACAAAATTTCCGCTACCGTGAGAGCATCCACTTGGGCCACACTCATCTCAGCCGCGACGAGGTGCGTCGCATTGTGGAGCAATTGGGCTGGCAATTCACTGGCAACAGCTATCATCTGACCAGCCACAATTGCAATCACTTCTCGGATGCCATGTCGCGGATTCTGTGTGGCCGGCAGATACCTGGTTGGATCAATCGCTTGGCACACTTTGTTGGCTGTGTGCCATTTCTTGAGCGTTGCTTGCCCCCTGATTGGCTAACTCCCATGTAAGTGGGCGTGGCCACTTCGAAGGGGTAGCCAGCCAACGGAGGGGGTGAAGGGATGTGTGTGTATGGACAGCTCAATAGAAATCATATTCTCTTTTTTATATTCATTTATTCATTCAATTCGATTTTTCGTTAATGTGTCCCAACAGTTAGTTAGGGGAACCCCAACAACAAGTATCATCCAATCCAAATCCTAATAAATAGCTCTATATTAACTTTCTCTCATTTTGTAGATTCAAAGAGTAGCGATTGAGGAGTATCGAGGGAGAAAAAGCGAGTAGTAAATGGCGAGTAGCGAATAGCGAGGAACGAGTCGCAAGAGAGGAGTGAGGAGTAGCGTGTGGTGAGTAGCAAGGAGTGAGAAGTAGTGAGCATTGAGTGGTGAGTAGCGAGTGGTGAGTAGCAAGGAGTGAGGATTAGCGAGTGGTGAGTAGCAAGTAGCGAGTAGCAAGTAGCGAGTAGCGAGCGTGGAGTAGCGAGTGGCTGTTGACGAGTGACGGTAGGCGGATGAAGGGTAGCGAAGGGCCAGTAACAAGTGACGAGTATAGAATTATATATAACTGTACTTTGATTTGAAATGGGCTGAAATGTAATTGTAATGAATGGCACGTAGGGTAACGAGTAAGGACAAGCGAGAAAAATATACTTACAAACATATAAATGTAAATATATACGAGTCAAACTATCATGATTATAGCGAGTAACGTGTGACGTGTAGCGGATGTTGAGTGGCAAGTGAGATATATTTTATATAAATGTATTTATAATAGAATATTGTTAGTTTTCTACGATTTCTGCAGTTTAATTTTTTGTTAGGGGAGCAGACGAGCAGGCGAGAACTATATTTTATATACACAAACTTCACAATTGTTCACAGTTTTCGGTTGTAGCAAGGAACGAGTAAATAGTTACATTTTGTGTAAATTTTCTCAATAGCATCTTTTTAACTTTTGATAAAGTTGTACGGCTGTTAGGTGAAAGCTTGGGGGTTTCAATTATAGAGAGTAGCGCGTAAAATGTAGCGAGTGAGTACCAGCGAGTGACGAATCATACACAATTATATTCTCATAAAATATATAATCATTAGAATAATCTGAGCTGTTCTCTAATTTAAGCCATTGCAAAACTCGAGAGATTAAATTGTGACGAGTTGCGAGAAAAAAAGTAGCGATCAATGGCAAATTATTGTAATATCAATGTACGTATCTATGTTTACTATATGTGTAACAGTTGTATAGTTCACCAGTTGAACTCGATAGAGAATAGATTGCTTGTCGCAAGTGACGAGCTTAATGTTATATGTGTTGTTCGAATTTACTCAAAACTGGTTTCTATTGTTAAGCCTATGTAAGTTATGCAAGTTCAATTTTCTTGGAAGTTTTTCACTTAACTGAAATTGTGAGAAGTAGCAAGTAAGAAGTAGCGAGAGGCGGGTGAGGAGCGACTAGAAAAATTGACTCAACTTTGTTAACTACTTTATTTTTTTTTATACGAAATCTAAGCTCAAGTTAAATTTTATTGGAAAGATTACGATGTAATTGTGGCGAGCAGGGTGTAGCGAGTAGCGAGTAAGAAATAACGAGTGACGAACTATCTTTGGTATACATGTACTATTTATTTATGTAATCTTGTGTAAACTTGAATGATACTCAGATGAAACACTTTTTGATAGGCCAGTTATACAAAATATACCAAATAAAAGCTAAATGTACAAAAATTCGAAGTTCTGATTCATTGATTATCGCTCGCAAAAACTAACGACTGGGCTGGGCATAAGGCTGGGCATAAGGGTAAGTTAAGGAAGTCACACGAAGACACCTTGAGCACTTATTGATGATTAATTCCTCCGCCGTTGGACTGAAGGCAAAAGCAAAGTTGACCAAGCCATCAAAGTACGTGATATATATGCATATATTGATATATACAGTGATATATGTATGCTGTCTTACTAATGAACCTAAACTATCAACATTTGGGCGCCACCAGAGAAATGCTGACATTGGTAGTTCGAGCTCCCCTTCCATTATTTATCATTGTTGTTTAGATTTGCAACATTCACCATGGCAAACAAATAAAGAAATTGGAATTAAAATTATCTTCTACTCTTCTACTCTTCTACTCTTCTACTCTTCTACTCTTCTACTCTTCTACTCTTCTACTCTTCTACTCTTCTACTCTTCTACTCTTCTACTCTTCTACTCTTCTACTCTTCTACTCTTCTACTCTTCTACTCTTCTACTCTTCTACTCTTCTACTCTTCTACTCTACTCTTCTACTCTTCTACTCTTCTACTCTTCTACTCTTCTACTCTTCTACTCTTCTACTCTTCTACTCTTCTACTCTTCTACTCTTCTACTCTTCTACTCTTCTACTCTTCTACTCTTCTACTCTTCTTATACTCTTCTTATATATATATACTATATATACTCTTATACTCTTATACTCTTATACTCTTATACTCTTATACTCTTATACTCTTCTACTCTTATACTCTTATACTCTTATACTCTTATACTCTTATACTCTTATACTCTTATACTCGGAGACGCGTGAGACGCGGAGACGCGGAGACGCGGAGACGCGGAACGCGGAGACGCGGAGACGCGGAGACGCGGAGACGCGGAGACGCGGAGACGCGGAGACGCGGAGACGCGGAGACGCGGAGACGCGGAGACGCGGAGACGCGGAGACGCGGAGACGCGGGAGACGCGGAGACGCGGAGACGCGGAGACGCGGAGACGCGGAGACGCGGAGACGCGAGACGCGGAGACGCGGAGACGCGGAGACGCGGCGACGCGGAGACGCGGAGACGCGGAGAGCGGAGACGCGGATACGCGGAGACGCGGAGACGCGGAGACGCGGAGACGGCGGAGACGCGGAGACGCGGAGACGCGGAGAGCGGGAGACGCGGAGACGCGGAGACGCGGAGACGCGGAGAAGCGAGACGGGCGCGGAGACGCGGAGACGCGGAGACGCGACTCTTATACTCTTATACGCTTATACATCTTATACCCCCTACACTCTTATAACTCTTATACTCTTATACTCTTATACTCCTTATACTCTTATACTCTTATACTCCTTATAATCTTATACTCTTATACTCTGATACTTATACTCTATACTCTTATACTCTTATACTCTTATACTCTATACCGTACTCTTATACTCCTTACTTACTCTAGACTCTTATACTCTTATACTCTTATACTCTTATACTCTTATACTCTTATACTCTTATACTCCTTAGACGCTTATACTCTTATACTTACCTTATACTCTGTATACTCTTATAAATATTATAGCTCTTATACTCTTATACTCTTATACTCTTATAACTCTTATACTCTTATACTCTTATACCTTATACTCTTATACTCTTATACTTACCTATACTCTTATACTCTTATACTCTTATTACTCTTATACTCTTATACCTCTTATACTCTTATACTCTTATACTCTTATACTCTTAATACTCTTATACTCTTATACTCTTATACTCTTATACTCTTATAACTCTTATACTCTTATACTCTTATACTCTTATACTCTTATACTCTTATACTCTTATACTCTTATACTCTTATACTCTTATACTCTTATACTCTTATACTCTTATACTCTTATACTCTTATACTCTTATACTCTTATACTACTGTACCATTATACTCTTATACTCTTATACTCTTATACTCTTATACTCTTTTACTCTTTTACTCTTTTACTCTTTTACTCTTTTACTCTTTTACTCTTTTACTCTTTTACTCTTTTACTCACTCCTATTTCCCATGGAACAATGCATAATGTACGCAAATGAAAAGAATTGTAAGGTTTTGTTGTTTTTTTTTGTTTTTTATTTAATTTTTATTTATGTTTGTTTCATTTTGCTGTTGTTTGGCATAAATTGTTAAACATGTTTTTGGTTTTCATTTCATTTTCATTTCCTTTTTCGTATTTAAATATATATAGTTTATGTATATTTTGTTTTTGTTTTGTTTTTTGTTTTGTAGTTGTATTTTGGTTGTAGTTTTTGTTTTTCTTTTCTTTTTTTATCTAGTTTAGTTTTTTTTATATTTTAATTATTAAATTTAACTCTCGTTTATGCATTGCTTAGCTAAAAAAAATCCACTTACAATTAGTTTACACAAGTTTAAATAGTTTGTTGAATGACATTTTTTGTTTTGTTTCTTTTTGTTTTCGTATAGCTGTGTTCTAGCACTCGTTGATCCGTGCCTAAAAAGTATTGAGCGACGAGTAGGGGGTATAGGGTGTAGGGAGTTGTCTTCACTCTTGTCGCGTTGCATCTCACTTCAGCTGAAAGTGTCAATAGGGCAAGATGTCGCGAGTAGAGTTAAGCGAGTGAACCAAAACTCGTTAAATAAAAGCGACGAGTAGCGGTTAGCTGATATTGTACCTCGTTGTATCTGACTGAAAATGATAAGGCGAGCGACGAATAACGAGTGCATGCCAATTCGTTATATTTGAGCGACTGTAACGAGTAGTGAGTGAATTAAAACTCGTTACATCTGAACTACAATAGTAAGTAAACTGAAACTCTTTATAATAGCGAGTAACGAATGATGAGTGCACTGAAGATGGTGTTGCTATTAACGAGTAACGAGGAACGAGTGGCGGGTTGCGAGTGACGAGTAAACTGAAACTCTTTATATTTCTGAGCACCTTTAGAGCCACTATAGATTAAGTATCGAGTTGCGAGTAACGAGTACATTGCAATTCCTTATATGTGATCCAGAGTGACGAGCAGCGAGTGGCGAGTAAACTGACACTCACAATACATCTGGCCTTCTCTAGTGACCCTGAAGGTGAAGTAGCGAGTAACGAGGACGCGAGACTGACGAGTAACGAGTTCATCGCGCCTCGTTCAAGCTCCAGGGTGATGAAATGTGACGAGTGACAAGTGACGATTGGAATTTAGTTCTAGTTGCATTCTTGCTATTAACAATCTGTCTTACAACTGATTTATCTTGTGTAGTATACATTATGGTTAGTGCTTACACATTTCATACAATATTTGTTTTTTTTTTTTGGTTTGTTTCTGTTTTTTTTTTGTTTTTTGCTTTCTTCTTTGGTTTTCTTCGTTTATCAATTCGTTCATTTTGGTTTTTCTGTCGATCGATCGATCTTAATCTTTTATAATCTCATGCTAAAATCTCAATTACACAATTTCTCTTAGTTTCTATGACTAGTTAGCCTATTACAATATCCAAAAAAAAAAAAAAAATTATATATGTATATATATATATATTTATGGGAATTACATAGACAAAATATCAACAAGTCTTACATATATTTATGTATGCATATGCATATAGATATAGGTATACATAGAGTTAGAGCACGACATTCAATAGTTAAATAGTTCTACATACAGATACAGATTTATAGCTAAGTCTAACTATATATATTTATATATATAAATATGTGTATAGATACATATATAAAGATACATATATATACATACATATTTTATATATATACTCGAGTGTTACTCTATGTGAAGTTTTATATATATAAATATATTTATATATATATATGTCTAATTTCTAATCCATTTGACGCACTCGCTCTTAAAGGAATCGAATCGAATCGTGTATCGAATCGAGTACCGAACATCGAGTTTTCAGTTTCGAGGTTCGAGATTCCTTTAAAAGAAGTCGTCAAAGGTTTTTGATTATGTTTGGTATTGAAGCATCGGTGCCGATAAGTTCGGATGATGCGAGCTATTCATGCGCAATGCGGATAGACTTTTGTTATACCATTCATCCTCCGGTGACATGCCTGGAAAACACAGAGAAGAAGAAAAGATAACATTGAGTTTATATTATTAGATGAAAGTTATATATAGGAAAATTTTGATTTATTGTTGAGAAATGAATATAAGAAATATGTAAAAGACTGAGGAGTTGATTGTTAGATAGTTGAATAAAGATTTTTGTTTAGTATAAGTGAGGTTAGGTTACACAAAAGTAGGGATATGTTCAAAGTAAGTGTATTTAACAGCTCTGTATGCTTAAACGCAAATACATTTGAATTAAATTCTCATATATTGATGATTATTCTGGATTTTCATTAAAAAAATAGCAGAAAAAGTGAGGTTAGACTATGCCATAGCAGGGCTATGTTGAGTATAAGCTTTATAGAAAGATAGAAATACAATCCAACTCATATAATTTGGCTGTATTACTTGCATAGCTTCATATTCTCATGTTTTTAGAAGATTTTAGTGCATAAAGGTGAGGTTAAGTAGGCATGAAAGCAAGCTTCAATTGAAGATTAGTTCAAGTGCTGATTGAATCAATAAGTTGTAAAGCTAATATATATATATATATACATATATGCATAGACTAGCACTTTTCAAGATTTCCGCTACGTAAATGCAAAAATCAATGAGGTTAGGTTGAATTAGGCGAGAGGTTATGTTGAATTAACTGCACATATTTCGATGATTATTCAAGATTTCCGCTACATAAATGGAAAATGGGCCGAGACGCACTCACACAGACACAGAGGATGCTGCGCGTAACTGGACTTGAGAAATTTGTCTTGACTTCGTTTCTCCTTTTTTCATGTATTTTGTTTTTTTTTCTGCTACTTCTTCATCGTCTTCCTTGGCCGGAAATTCATTTGCTGATTTGTCGTCGCCTTGACTTTTGCCTTGCTCGCCTTCTTTACTTCTCTCCTTCTCTCTCTCGGTTTCTTCCTCTTTGCTTTACTTAATAATATCCGGCTAAGTAGCTCCCCCCTCCTCTTCTCTGGACATATATGTACTGTGTATGGAGCTATATGTCTCTGTATCTAATGTCAATCGTATTTACAGCTTTGTTTAGCTGCGCTGTTTATCTTTCAATTTTGTGTTTATGGGCTCGAATTCGGAAGATCCCCTTGCTTCCCTCCAATTTCCTCTGCCCCCCTTTTTTATCGGGCGTCGCGACATCGTCTCAATAAACAAAAGTTTCATACCTCAGACAAGTGGCTCGAATTAATGGAGCCGACTACGAACGGAAATTTACGCTAACTCGAAAATTATATATAATTTTATTAATAGTGAAATATAAAGTAGATATTTTAGGATACTTAACTTTCTCTATGTGTGAATATATAAACCTGAGTTATTGGAAGAAACCTGACTTTCTGGTAAGATCTATGAAATTGTTTGACATTTGAGAGACGGAGGGAGTGCTATATACAGTGAGAGAGAGAGAGAGTATGAGAGACCGAGGAAAGCTTTCTAGGCATTTATCGTAGATATCATTTGATAGACTATTAAAAGGTAACCACAGCTTTCGTAGTACAACATGTTCCCTAAATAAAATCAAATAGTTTTCGATATCTATTTTTATGGAATTTATGAATGTGAAAAATCAGCTTTTCGATAATTGAATAAGATTTGGAATACTTAATTTGATTTTCCTAGCTCTAAATAACTTTGAAATATGGCCAAGAAAGTGAATAAAATCGATTTTTATCGACCAATAGGAAAATTTTTTGACTATATACTACTCTTAAGAATTTGGGAAAACGTATAATGACATTGATTTTCGTCAACTACAGGAAATGGGGCCACCTATCGAGCGATCTATCAAGATATCAAATAGTTGTATAATATTTATATATTATAGGCTCTACTAAGTCGCTTGCACGCATTTCCAAAGCAAGTCTTCATATATTGTGACGTCGCAGTGATCAGAATTTGTGTTCCACCTTTTCAAGGCAAAGCCAAGCTTAAGAAACGAGAGAGAGAAAGCTCTAAGGGGAGCACAAGCAAAAGCTGCGAGCGGCTGATCGCAGCGAGCAGCTAGAAAAAGGCGAAAACAGAAGACGAACAATTTTAGTCAGTCGACGAGCGGCGAAGAGTCGAAACGTTAGCCAACGGAACGAAGAAACAAGTGCAGTGAAAGTGCGGGGGTAAGAGAGAGAGAGAGCGAGGCGAGGCGGTAGTGCGAGTGAGGCAAAACGATGCGTGCGTGAGTAGTGCCAGCCAATTGGAATTGTTATCGATAGCTATTTGTTTTGCGTACTCACCCATCGAGTCCTGACGCACGCCCACCGAGCCCATATTTGTGCTGTGGGCCATTGAAAATGGCTGCGTCATGCCCGGATATGAGGAGGCGCCCATTTGAAACAGATCCTGCAAGTGCCAAAAAATTGTCATTATAATTAATTTGTGAGTGTGCGTGACAGTATGTGGTCTTACCTGGGGATAACGATTCATGGTATTGTGATGTGGATAGGGCTGATAGCCGCGAGAGACGCTATAGCCTTGAATGTTCCGCATCATGCCGTTGCACGACGGGATCACAGATGGTGCCAATGCCTTTTGCAGCTGCTTCTCCTGCTTGCGGTATTTGGCGCGTCGATTCTGAAACCAAACCTGTAAGAGCCACAGAGAGATAGAGGGAAAAGATGATTTAACATCAATTAAAGCGTTGCCAGACCTTTAAGTTGTTTGCTAAATTAACCAGCAATGCCAGCCGCAGCAGCAGCAGCACTTGGGCAACGCTGTGCGCATACAAAAAAATGAGCGTAAAGCGGATGATGGGAAAAGGCAACGCGAAAAAAACATGGCTGCCTCCTTCCACGCACACACATAGACACGAACACACTTAAGCATTTCACTTTATACTGCGGGCGACGTCTTATGAGTGAAAAAATCTACAAAATTGAAATTGAAAATAAGTTGACGACGCTGTTTGCAATGTGTGGAGGCAGCAGCGGGTGGAGTGGGTATTGTGCGGGGGCTTTCTGCTTAGACATTATTAAAGATGGTCCTCACGATTCCGACTGGGGCCCCGACTGCTGCTGCTGCTTCTGCTGATGGCAAAAAGAAATTGCCAAGATGAAAGCCGCGCGCCAAACATAGACTATGTTGCCAATGGGCTTAGCGAGCAAGAGTGGGAGAGCAGGACAGAGAAAGAGAGAGAGGGCGGTAGCAGGCGACGGGCTGTGTGTAAAAATTTCCGACATTTTGAAAGCTGCTCTCGCCTCAGCTTACTTTGACTTGCTTACAAGACGCCTGTAATGGCGCGGGCCCAGACAACTGAAGTGAGAGAGCGAACTGAAATGGTGTGGGCTGAGAGAGGGTGGGGTGTGGGCAAAATGCGACGGGTGTGGGTAACTGCTGTGTGTGTGTGTGGTGGGTTTTTGTCGTTGTCTTCAAGTTGGGCTTGCTACGTCTTTGGACGTCTTTGGCATTTTTCTTGTATTTATTTTATCATTATTATTATCTTTGTCCATGGCTATGTGTGTGCGTGAGGGTCTGTGTGTATGTCTGTCTGCCTGTGTGTGTGTGTGTATTTTAATGAAAAATACAAGCAGGCCTGGTGCTCGCTCGCTGGCTTTCGGGGTTGTTTTCTGTGCCCACTTGATGGCTCGTTCGGTTTCATTTGGTTGGCTGCCAGCATAAAAATGCCAGCCCATGCTTGTATGTGTGTGTGTGTATGTATGTATGTGTGTGGGTAAAAATGCTCTTAACCATTTGTTGGAGGGTTGCAACTGCTTCTATGCTGCTTCGACTGTCTGTCTAGCTAGCTGTTTGTATGTATATACTTATTTATATATATATAAGTGTGTGTATGTATGTGTGTGTGCCAGCCATCAAATGGATCCTTAATTGAGTTACTCCGCCCACACACATACAGTCCTACATATAGATGCAATGCATAAAAAATGGCTATGAAGGAAAAATAAAATGAAAATGAGAAAGAAAGAAAAAACACAACTCAACAAATTGTAAAATCGAGCACAGAACTTTGCTATACCCTATGAAGTCGAGGTCGCTATGGGGTATGCTAATGCCAAGGCATAGCTAACAACGGTGTTTTTTATTATTCATCTTATATAAAAGTTTATTTATGCTTTATATATTCTCCTATTTTATAGACGTTTCTGCGCTGCTTTAAGGATTTTTTTGGAAGTATTAATCATACCATTTGCCTTAGCTTGATATAGTTTTCATTTGACTTTATTAATTTTTCTATTAATTTTTAAGCTGCTATGTTTGCGATGCTTTAGTTTGGTTTAAGGCGATGATTTTTTTCTAATTTTTTATATTTAACTTGCATTTCTAGTTGATTTTGATGGTATTTCATAATGGTATCTAAAATTAGTTGATTCCACTGAGCGCACCTAATTAGATAAATGTAAATTAAAACTACAAATGGCCTGGCCTAACACAAATATATAAAGAAACACACACACACACGCACACATACAGACATAGGCAAACACCGCGACGGAAATATGAAAATTAAACGTATTCAAATTGAATTTACTTTCAACATTTAATCAAATTTTGACCCGCATAACGTTTCATTGCAATGTTTTTCTGTCTTTTTTCTTTTTTCGTTTTTGGTTATTTCAATTCAGCAACGTTTAGGGATTTTCATTGTTGTTGTCATTAAATTGGAGTTAGCCGAACTTAACTGCAACTGTGTGTGCGTGTGTTGGTGTGTGTGTGACCCATAAACAAAACATAAATTTAACAAGCAGTTAAACGAATTGTTATCACATTTCATTTAAGCATAATTTCTAATTTGAAAATATGCTGCATGCCAATTGGTTTCCAATTCAATTGGACTTTAAGCTTTTCTATTTATTTTTGTTACGGTTTTTCATATGCATGTAGCTATCCATATTTACTTGTTTAAGTAGTAGAAGATTTTTGTGTTTTAGATAATTTTTTAGTTTATGCTATTCTTTATGGCTCCGATTAGCTGACAATAATTCCATTCATAATTGGGTTTTAGTTTAGATTGAATTTGCTTGCAATAAAACCTAAACAAGTTCGAAATATATTTCCAACTAACGGAATTACTTACGTATTATAATTCCAATTGGAACATCATAAAACACACCCGCAGCAGATCATGCAAGTTCCAATTGGGCAAAACCCCTCTAGCTCGTTGCTACGTTTGCATATGCAGCTTCCATTTTGAACTCTTTAATAATTTACTAAATATCCAATTGACTATAGGAATACTTAATGAATATGAATTCGAATTAGAATTTATCTGGCATAGTTTATTCAAGTTCCAGTTGGATTATATCTTATGATTAAAGCTCTATGAGAAACGAGTGCCAATTGGAGTGGAGTAAAAGCTATTGAGTAAACATGTTCGAATTGGAAAAGTTGCTCGCTATATATACATTGTTTATATATTGTGTATTATATTTTCCTTTCTATTTTGTTGTTTTTCAATTTTCATTGCCTACTTATTGGCGCATGTTTATTTAGGCAACTCGATTCCTGCTTTGCTCTCTCGCTCTCTCGTTTCCCTTCTCCCACTCTATCTCTCACTCTCTCTCTCTCTCTCTATTTGTATATAAATTTCTTGGTAAATATAAATGTTATTTTCATGCGCTTCGTTTTACACTTGTTTAGAGGACATAATAACAGAAATCGATTCTATCAACAATAAACAATCATTCGATATGTTTACACGATTGCCATAACATTTTATATATATTTCATTTCACGTTTATATACAATTTGTTTTGCGAAAACTAATTACAGTTGATGAATTCGAGTGTAAGTTAGGTGAGTCATGATACCGATTTCGCCATTAATGATATATGATAATGTAATGCTGATGACGATAATAGATGACAATAATTTAGATAGTCATAATGATTAGGCTAACAAAAATTATAATGAAATTCGTACTTCCTCAGATAGTCATAATACTCATACGACTGTTAATGATAATAATAGATTCAAATTATATATTGTATGAGAGTGATTTGATTAGCTATATAAATCGCTCTCTCTTTCTTTGTGTCTCTTTTTGGAACCTCATCTAATCTCAATTAGTTCTCCCCGAAGATAGCCATCTCAGTCGACCAAAAAGCTTTTACTTCGCTTTAAAATACATCTGTGCTCTAGAGAATAATGGAAATGCGAAAAGGGCTAAGTATAACAAGAGGATATAGTGAGAAATGTATATATATATATCTACAGCTGTCCGCTCTGATCTGATAATTATGTGAGCTGAACAAACAAGTAAATTGAAAGACTAGCGAAATGCGGCAAGGGGCGAGGGTTGGGCTCGAGGGCAGGCGGCAGGCGGCAAGAGACTCGAATCAGGACATTTGTTGGCGATCAAATGACAGGCAAATGCCCTGCTATTAGCACAGCATAAACCATATTTTTCTACAAATGTTCAAATATTTACACACACACACACACACACTCATGTACAACCCTCCGATGCACAACCGCAACCCTCGCATAATGAGGCGTAGAGTTTGCCCTGCTGCTTGTCTCTCTCCCTCTCTTCATCTCTCTGTTGGTAATTTGACGACAACTTGACTCTGGCACTCACTTAACAACAAGCAACAACAACAACAACCAGCAACAACATAATTCTGGTGTTGACGAAATTTGTCGCATATAAAATTTTATTGCAAATTTTCTTTAGCCAGCGAGGCGAGCGAACGAGGGTTACAGCCAGGTTAGGGGGCCAGGGGGTAGCTGGCAATCGGAGCTGGGGGCTTGTGTGGCTGCTACATCTGCTTGAAAAATCCAAAAAGCATTTCCCATATTTGCTTATGCAGGAGTGCAAATGCCACTCACATGGCCTGCTTGACAAACTAATTAGGGCTATATACAGATCTAATAGATCATAGATATATATATATCTATATATGATATTGAATTGAAGTCAGCTGTCAATTGAGTTTACAAAGAAACTGTTTGAGCTCTGAGAAGAAAAACTTCTGAAGGCATTCAAGATTTGGCTTGGATTGATCTATCGGAATATATTTATCGTTCTATCGATATACACTCTATGATCTGACAAATCTCAGCATATCCATTCAGTGGACAGAGAGGTCTCTTTAAGCTGCCATAGACGTGCCTAGTGTTATTAATAACTCTCGACTCTTTAGGGCCTTCTCTGTTTTCAGAGGGGAGTAGCTAGTATTATTAATAATACTATGACAATGCTCTGTAAGTGCTTGGCTTGAGCAACACACTCTGACAACACTCTATTTACTATACTACAACTTGACCAAAATATAACTAGTGTTGTTAACAACACTCAAACAGAAGTGAAATGCCGAGGCAAGCTTGAGTCTGGTAAAGCTTAGCCTAGAGCCAGCTTTTAGGCTGTGCATGGGTGTCATGCGACATATATATGGCGTATATATATATGTCTATATGGATATATATCCACACCTATGGTTGGCACTATCAGGTTGTCACCTCGCACGAATTTCTCAGCTGAAATCTGTAATTTTTAGTTCTATTTTGCGAGTCTCGTCTGTGCGTCGCCGTTGTGACATGTAATTCTATACCTCAAATGGGCAAATGAAATGCGCTGAGTGGAGGGGTGGGGCAGGCGGTCTCTGAGGGTTGAGGGCTGAGCTACCCTAACCACAGGAGCAGCCGCTGCACTTCACTTGTTTCGCAGTCATGATAAAACTATAAATTAATTATTACCGCGGCGCACTTGAAAGCGCAACAGAGTCGCAGCAAAAGCAACGGCGGATGGGGGTGTTGAGAGGGGGTGATACACACACACATACACACACACACAGGCATACATGAGTGTGCGTGCCCTCGTGGGGGGTTGCTTTGGCTTTGCAGCCGTGTCGCCCCGGAGAGCACTTTAGAGCGACACCCAAAAGCGAAGCATTCAATCGGAATAATCGCGAACTAATCGCCTAACCCAGATGATCACAGCAACATACATATCGAGCTAGGGATAGGGGTGGGGGCATTGGTAGGGGTAGTTGGTCTGCGGTAAATTCTATAGCCAAGCAAATGGCCCTAAATCGCATCAGTGCGCAAATTGCCAGCGCTTCAAGCGAAAACAACTGTTGAAATAAATTGGAAATTGAAAGACCAACGATAAATCGATTATATGTCTGGTTATCGATAGCAAGACTGATTGATAATTAGCGGTAATTGAAGAGACTTTTACTTAAAATTGCACTCTGGAGCTGTAACTTCACTTTGATAATTTAGTTAAGGTCCTCAATGGGCAGTTCACAGTCTATCGATAACTTTAGTTATCGTTATTGGCGTAATTTGCTTAGTGCATTTTCAAAGACTTTACATAGAGGCGTAAGCTGAAGACGTTAAATAGCAGCTGATGTGATATCGATAGCTTCATTTATCGTTATCGATAATTTGTGTAACGATTTTTAAGACTTTTGTGAATTGCAGTCTTTATCAAATAATGTTTATAAAAACTGCAATTTAGATATCGATATATCGATAAATTGATCAATTTCGTTATATATACCTAGAGCAGGCATTACGTTAGAGCAATTCTTCGAGTTGAGGCAAAATAACGTTCGCAATGTATTTCAGATATAATTTATCGTTAATTGTTAATCGAATATTCGTTCTATTGAGCTGTTGAGCTGTTGCTTTTGACTTGAAATAATCGTTAGCAAACGTTAATGAAAGAATAGTGAAAGAATAAAAACGATAGACAGCTCACAAGAACTAAATGAACAATTGAACTAGTTCAGCTAATTGAACTAGAATTGATTTGGTTACCATGAGTGCTTTCTGTATTGAACTAGTTCAGCTAATTGAACCAGAATTCATTTGAATGCATTGTTTGCACTCAATATGATCAATTGAACTGGTTCAACTAAGAGAACTAGAGCTTCAAGTTCATTTGGTATTCGACGTTAGTTGCCATATTGTGAGTAGAAAGAGGCAAAGTCTCTGCAGCTGGTAGAGAGAAGTGAATTGCCAGCTGAGCAACTCGCTTTAGCACATTTTCTAGAGTATTTATTGTATGTAATGACTGGGCAGTGGCGGGGAGCCTTGGGGTCTACTCACTTGAATTCGCGCCTCGTTCAGCTTTGTCGTTCGCGCCAGCTCCTCGCGACAGTAAATATCCGGATAATGCGATTTGGCGAATGCCGCTTCCAGTTCAGCTAATTGTTCCTGAAATAAAGCGGATTTTAATTAGGCTAATTTGTTGTTATATATATATACATATATAAGCAGCACACACACGCACTCCCCGTCTCTGTCTTCCAGTGCTTGACTTTTTCATTGAAGCCAAATCTCTCTGATAAGCAGCAAAGAGAAAAAATGTTAGGGGCTTGGGTTGAATTGATGTAGACATGGGCAGTGCCACGCCCACGCTCCACGCGCTGCACTCGCCCCTCTCCTCCGCCCCTCTGTTTTGTCCATAGCTAAACAGTTTTCGTATTCCCATTGGCTCAGTTTCAGTTTGCCAAATGCAAATTGTGTTGCCCACTTCGGAGGACTTGTCAAAAGTTTAACATCAAATTTCCATTAGAAAGCAGTGTTGTAAAGTGACCAGCGAAAAGTCTGGCTGAAAAGGGAACAAGTAACAACAACAACAACAAGCTAGTGTAATGAAGTTTAGCTTAAAGCTGTCGCAGCTTTACAAATGGAGCTTAACTAGCTGTCAACGCGCGTTACGTGGCGGTTAGCAGCGCTGCGAATTGGTCATCGAGCTATCGATGATCCTGAGCAGCTATCGACGGCCTTTTGCCGTTAGCCGTTACAAATACCACATTATTGCTACTTTAGTTGACGTTTTCCAACACTTCAAATTAGTTGTTATCGAGATGTGGAGTTATCGATTGCTCAAAAAGCATCTGATCCCGTTTGACTGTGCCTAATCAAATGCGACACTGGCTGACGTTTTCCAACACTGGCAAACTGCCTATATCAGGATTTGTATTCTCTTGTAGCATAAATTAGCTAGCAGACGTTTGCCAACACTATGCCTTGTCAGGCATACAAATTAGGATCAGAGTACTCCACTTGACGCTTTTCAACGTAGTCTTAAACTTACTATTCATACTTCTGCAGAAGCTTTCCAACACTAAACATGACTGCAGCGTGAACGATCTTTGCCTTTACTTTATCAGACTCACATAAAGTCTTTTAATAGCACAGCAGATGTTTCTCAATATAGGCACTTGGAAAGTCCTGCGACATCTGCTGACCCTTTGCAGCACTTGTTGTAGCTTAGCTGTGTAGCGTCGACAGACTCTTTCCAACACTTGTTTACCGCAATTGAAGGACAGCGAAATTCTTTTAACCATCAACATTTGCGCTCGACACGTGAATCATTGAAGCCATTGAAGCCATTGAAGCTTACGAACAGTTAATATGTTGCAAGCTCTTCGAGCACTTGCCAACACTACTTAAGCATTTGCCACTTGCCCCTGAGCTGAGCGATTGAATTTTGTTAATTAAACTACGAATTTTCGATTGAAATAACATTCTGATGCTTAGGCTCTATCTAACAACTGAGTTGTTGTTGCTGTTGTTGTTGTTGTTGTTGTTGCTGGGCATTTACTTTCGCAAATGCCAAAAGTTTTAATTACAAGCGTAACCTTCACGAAATCTAATTAAAATTTCTCACTACGTGGCCGAGCAGGTCTCGCCTGGGCTGGCCTGGGCTGGAAGGGTAGGCAGCGGAGGCTAGGAATAGGGAATACCCCTAACATATATATATATATATATATACGTAGGTGCACATCGGTTAACTGACCTGTGTGAATGTGGTGCGATGTCTTCGTCTGGCTGGCGTTGGGCAGGATGCTGTGGTTGGGGTATGCCCGGCATGTTGGCTCAATGATGAGATTCCACTTCCGGGCGATGTGATGCCAGCGGAAACCGTTGACATTCCGCTGTTTGGTTCCGGTTTGAGTTTCTTAAAAGCGCCCTCTGCTGGAAAAGAGAGAGAAAGAGAGTGAGAGAGAGCGAGAAATATAAGCTAGCTAACATAATAAGCAAAACAAATGTCATTGCTTTAGAGAGAGAGAGAGAGAGACTTGAGTTTTTGGTAGCTTCCTTTAAGGAACACTCTTAGCATATATAGTTCTATCTGTAGCTGACACGATCGATGGCAGTCCAGAGCCAGAAGAATAGACGAACAGAAGGTGAGGTGGACAGACTTATAGCTAGATAGACAGACGGACGAGCAGGCAGAGAGACAGACAGGCAGAAGAACGGCAGACAGATAGATAGAACGATCCGCCAAAGAGGCGGATAGACGGACAGTAGGATGGATAGACAGAAGCACAGCAGGGCAGGCGGGCGGACAAACGTTCCAGCTGACAGCTGAAGGGAAGGAGCGGGAGAAACTGATAGACGAGCGGACAAAAAACCCAATATGATCCATGAAAGAGTATCAACTTATTCCTGAACTCTCAGTTCAACGTCACATAAAGAAAGAGAGATAGAGTGAGAGAGAGAGGGAGATAGAGAGAGCAACATAGTTTTAAATTAAGGAGCAGAGGCAACTAGCATTTAATTTAGATTTTAATATGCAGCAAGCGTTTATCCAAAACTCCATTCCCCTCTTGCTCTTCCTCTCTTGCTGTCCCTATCCCTATTCCCCTCTTCCTTTTCTGCTTTGGTTTGTTGCATAATTTGTTGCGGCCACAAGAACTTCGGCGGACGTCTCCGGGTCACGGGCTGCAGGCCACGGGTCACGGGTCACGTCGTCCTCTCCGGCTCGGCCCATGAATATGCAATATGGGATAATTTATGCAAATTTCTCGGCACATTAATCGGGCAGAGCTGTCGCGCTCTCTCTCTCTTTCTCTCGCGCTGTCTCTCTCTCTCTCTCTCTCGCTCTCTCTCTCTGTCGCACACCTGGCAAATTACACGGCCAAAGGTCAAAGTAGGGAGCGACTAAGGCTTAAGCTTCATTCATTTAGCTTGTCACCTGCCATGTGACCTCTGACCTCCGACCTACGCTGCTGCTGCTGCTGCTGCTGCTTGCTGCTGCTTGGGCGCTTAATTGGCCCGCTTAGCTCGTTAACAAAATTTCAACTATGTTTGCATTTAACATTTCGTTCGCACTAATTGAATAACACACAAGGCGAACGCTACCTTTTATCTGCATTTATTTATGCTAACTCGCAGTTCCTCTCCGCTCTCGCCCTCTCCCCCTCTAGCTCTCTCTCTCTCTCTCTCACTCTGTTCAACTCTCTTGACCTTGTCTAGGTCATATGTGAGTTAATTGTTTCCTGTTGAGCGTCTTTTGCGATCCTTAGTTTTGTTTACCCTTCAACTAGGCTATTCCGTTGATTCCATGTTTCGTTTCCTTTTCTTCCATTCTTCATCTTTTGCTTATCTTTTCTTCATGTATCTTCTTTCTTAATTCTCTTACTTCTCTATAAATTCTCTAGCCCTTCTCCATCATTTCTCTGTCACTTCTCTATCATCTCTCTTGTCTTCTCTTATCTTCCCTTGTTTTCTCCCTGGTCTCTTCTTGTTTCGTTCTTTTCTCTCTTCTTTCTTTTCTCTCTTCTTTCTTCTTTCTGCGGTCTTCTGTCTTCCTTCTTCTCTCCTCCATCTTTACTCTTCTCTCTTCTCTCTTTTTTCTTCTCTCTTCTGCTTTCTGCCTTCTGTCCCCTCTCTTCCTTCTTCTCTCTTCCATCTTCACTTACTCTCTTTTCTCTCGTCTCTCTTCTCTCTTCTCTCTTCTCTCTTCTCTCTTATTTCTTCTCTCTGCTCTCTGCTCTCTGCTCTCTGCTCTGCTCTCTTCTCTCTTCTCTCTTCCTCTCTTCTCTCTTCTCTCTTCTCTCTTCTCTCTTCTCTCTGCTCTCTTCCCTCTTCCCTCTTCTGTTTTCTTTCTTCTCTTCTCTTCTATTATCATCCCATCGCTTTATCAGTTAGTTGAGCACAAAGGCTGAGCTATTGGAAGGATTCAATGATTGACTTGGATTAAAGAACCAGAGCTAGAGCCAGAACACGAGCCAGAGGCTGAAGAGGCTATTGGCTAGCAGCTGAGTTTTGTTCTTTTGCTGTCACAACAATTGCAATTTAAGCCGTGGCAAATGTGGCCAACGGATTTGCTAACATAAAGGAGCAAGAGGCCAACGACAAAGGATGTATCAGAAGCGAGGACAATTGACAGCAGGCGTTAATCCTTGCACTACACAAAACAAAAGGACAAAGGCCAATGAGCTGTAACAGCAAAGGGAGGGAGAGAGACAGGAAAGGAGAGGGATCAGGAAAGAAAGAATCTGGGGTAGAGCTCACCTGATATAGTATGATCGGAGAGGCGCGAGGGCGGCGTATGGGCCGGCGTGTGGTGATGCGAGGAGGAATCCATGCCAGGCGTCGGCAAGCCCGAATAGAGGGCGCTGAAGTCCTCGGGCGTGCTGCTGCACTTGCGCTGATGGTTGAGCGAGGACGAGGAGGACTTGTCGAGCGTTGTGATTGGCGACCGAGTGTCCTGCACCGAGCTGGCCAGGCTAAGCAGCCGATTCTCGTGCGCGCCGCCGATGCCCATCAGGCGGTTATCCTGGAAGGACATGAACTTGGTGTCCTGGGCAACGCCAACGCCCGCCGCAGCATGCTGCATGCTCGCATGATCCTCGAGCAGGCCCTGCTGCAAGCCAAGCAAACCGCCCACCAAATTGGGTCGCAGCTCGTCCATACTGAGCTTGGCCGCCTGGCCGCACGCTCCAGCCGCCGAGAAGTTGAGTTGCCTGCTAAATATGGCTGGAAAGATATTGAACTGCTGCGAATCGGCGCTCGATTGTGGACTCAGGCCCAAGCTGTGCGGCACCGCCGCCACCGACGACGATGATGAGGAGGCAACAACGGAGGCTGCAGCGGATGCTGCAGCGGCGGATGCTGCAGCGGCGGCAGCAGCAGCGGCAGCAGCGGCGGCCGCTGTCGATGTGACCGTCGAGTGGCCCGTCGAGCCCGGTCCGTTGCCTATGAGAAGTGTGGGCGTCCCGTGCAGCTGCTCCAGCTGCTGTTGTTGCTGCTGTTGCTGCTGTTGTTGCTGCTGCTGTTGCTGAGCGACCTGCAATTGTTGCTGCTGCAGAGGCGCAGCGCCCGCCGGCAACTGTTGCTGTTGCTGCTGTTGTTGCTGTTGTTGCTGATGTTGCTGTTGCTGATGATGGGCGTGTGCTGCTGCTAGAGCGTGTGCGTGACTGTGGGCGTGGCTGCTATTGCTGCCGTTGGCGGGCAGCGATTGCTGTTGCTGTTGTTGCTGCTGTTGTTGTTGTTGCTGCTGCTGCTGTTGCTGTTGACTGTTTGTATTGCTGTTGCCGACGACTCCTACCAATCCAGCTGGCAATCCGACGCCGCCTACACCGGTACCAGGGCCGCCGGCACAACTTTGATGTTTGAAATCCAATTTGTGGCCGGCGTAAAAACGCTGCGTATCGATATACGTTTTGAAGAAATCTATTGAATAATCCAACTGGAGGCTGTAACGCGGCGAAATGCGCGCGTTCTTCTTTAAGTAAATTAAATTTCGTGTGAGCTAAGCCAAGCTCCTCACGTTTCTATCGCTTATTTAGGTATGAGGATTTCGATTAGGTTCTTTAAGGTCTCGTTAACGTTTGGGTTTTCTATCTGATTTCACACTTTACTTTGGCTTTTTACGAAATATTCTCACTTTTTGCTGATAATTCGCGTATTTGAGCTTAGCTTTTCATTTAAGTTAAGTTAAACGGCTCCTTTCATAATGGCGCCACGTTTGTCATTTGCTAAACTATTGTTACAAAATGGCGCATTGAAATCAATTTGCTTAATCGTTGTTCAAAAAAAAATGGCGCCTTTTAATATGGCGCCTTGTCTTTAATTGGCTCGCTTTAGAGCGGCGGTTTGTTCAATAGCTTTCGCTCTTCTGATAATCGCACTCAATGTAAATAACTTGCATTTGTTATTATTGCCGTGCTCCTTGCACTCACAGACACACACGCGTGCACATTATTATTATTTTCTCTTTCAATTTTTTTTGCAAATGGCGACGGCTTTTTGGGGCACTTAAAAAAATACAAAATTCTTATTGGAAAAAAATAGGAAGCGGATGTTTTCTTTTGCTCTTTTATGTTGTTGATTAATTATTGTTGTTATTTGTTGTTGTTGTTGTTGCAGCTGCAATTGCCGTTGCTTCGCGTGTTGTGTGGCACCGTTATGTTGAAAGCCGTTGCAGCGACTGTTGGTTTTGTTGGTTTGTTGCGATGCTAAAGCAAAAAGCGACGACGCCGACGGTGGACGAGGAAAAAAAATCAACAAAAAAACAACAACAAATATGAAAAACGAACGCCTCGAAGAAACACGCAACTGTGTGTGTTGTGTCTGTGTGTGTAGCTAATGTCGCAACTATTGTGAGTTCTTGGGTTATTGCTGCTTTTGTTGTTGCTGCTGACGTTATTTCTGTTGTTGTTGTTGTTGTTGTTGCTGTTGCACGCACAACGGTACGTATTCGCGGCCGATCAAACTTAAAATGATATACAATTTCAGCCAACATACAAAATTATAACGAAATTAAGGATCATGTGCTCTGCACGAAGCTGCGCTGCGCTGCTCGGCTGGCGATGCTGCTGCGCTGCCTGTGCCACTGCTGCTGCTTCTGCTGCTGCTGGGGGTTGCTTTTTGCTAACAGTGGGAGCATTGCGGGTTGCGCGCGAACGATTGGTGGTTAGTGTATGTGTGTGTGTGTGCGTGTGTCTGTGCGTCTGTGTATGTGTGAGACCACGAATCGTTAGTCGTACTAATAATTTGAAAAATAATGAAACTTGCGCTGGCGTCGCTGCTGCCGTCGCTGGCGTTGACGGCTGGTCTGGCAACGCTGCGTGCATGTCGAGTGCGACAGCATGCGCCATTTTGTACACGTTGCAGCTAGTGGCCGACTTGCTCGCACGCATACGGCAGCTGCATCAGCTGTTGTCTCGCTTTAACTTGCTGGTTAATTTCGTTAGTAGTTGCCCAGACGTTTGTATGTGTGAGTGTATTTATATATATACATATATACATATAAATATATATATAAATACACATATATATACATATACATATTTATATAAATATATATATATATATATATATATATATATATATATATATATATATATAAATATATATATATGTGTGCATGTTGGCAGTTGTCAATATGTATGCCATGTTTTTGTTTGATCCAATAAGGCTCGTTGCTGTTGTTACTGTTGTTGTTGCTCACTCGCTCGCACGCACGTATAAAACAACATTTATCCTATTAGACCTGGCAAAGTTTTTCCTTCTTCTGCTTGTCTGACACACATACTCTTGTCGGCAACAACTGCAGCTGGGTAATTTACAAAACTTGCGGCGCAGTGAAAGTACGCAAATTAATTGCGAAAGAAACAGCGTCACACAGTTTGACACAGTTTGCCTGTGATTCTCAAACTGTCCGCAACGATCAGCAGCAGCGGCGAGAGGGAGAGCGAGATAGCTTGCCTGCTCATTAAAAACTTGCCGCAATGCCAATTGGAATCCACAGAGTCTACCATAACACACACACGCAAACACACATATAACATACATGCAAACACAGTCCGAGCTGATGGTGAAGTTCACGGCGAGGCAAATGTGTTGTGCCTGCTGCCAGCGACGCGCATCAAATGAAAATGTTGCCCCAGCCAAAGGCAGCGTCAATGGCGACAGCAAATTGCACGCGAGTGCCAGCTAGTTGTCTCGCTCTGACTAACGCGTGCGTCTTCGTATAGCCAATGCGCCAAAACGTCTGACCAATCAGAGAGCAGCTTTTGCCAGCAAAATGGCTATGCATGTTGTTGTTGTTGCGGCCGCTGCTGCGCTGGCAGCGCAATGAATTAGTGTTCGTTAAATGTGGCAGACGTTGACGCCGACGCTGATGTTGACGTCGTCGTCGCACGCTGGCGCTGTTGCCACATTTCTTTGGCAGTTTCTTTGCCGTCGTCGTCGCATTCGCTGTAATCCTTAAAACAATACTTTTGAACCGACTGACTTTGTCCTCTCTGCTGCTGCTGCCGCTGCCGACGACGACGCGCATCCTCGTTCTCGTTCTCGTCCTCGTCCTTGTTCCCATTCGCATTCACATCCACGTCGCTTCAGCGTTCGCTTTTCGCTTTGAAGCACTGCCTCCGCTTTTATTTTTTTCATTTTTATTTCATTTTTTTTGTTTTATTACCATTTTCTTTTTGCGTTTCTCATTTGTTTGTCCTTTATTTTTCCCCATTTTTGCTCGTTTATTTTGTATCTTATTGGAGCTCTGGCTTGCTCGAAATGATTTCATCTCTTTGTTTAATACACCCACACACACACACAGAGAGAGACACACGTGTGGCTTAAAGGTCCTGTTGGTCAGTAGGCCCGCATAAATTGCATTGAAAAAATGACGAAGCAAACTTTAGCTGACCTCAGCGCGAATATTTCTATCGATTCCGATATCGATAGTTATCGAAGTTTCTTATGGTGTGATCCGACATGCTGTGTTTATTTCATCTTCTTCTTTTCTGTGTTCATTGATTCTCTTTATTGTTTCTCCCCATTATTTTTTAATTCTTGAATTCTTCTTTCCTCTTTTTTTGATCTTAGTTTCTCTCAATCATTCTTACATTCTCTTCTTTTATATCATTCTTCCCCTTGTTCACACTTCGTGGAATTCATTCTTCTTCAATGTTGTCTGCAGTTTGAATGCCACTGCATTGAGTCTACAGTCTTAAAGCTGGTATTTCAGTTTTGGTTTTTTCTATTAATAGATAGTCTTGCCTGTTCACTTTAAGCATAGTTTCAGCTTTTGTCACTTTTCAGTTATCGCCAGCTCTGGATTCTAGATTTAATATCTTCTGTGTTTGCCTTCCTCTTGCCTATGCTTGTTAGCTGATTTGTCTTTCATTGTCACTTTAGACTTTTCATATTTTTTATATTTAAATAAGAATTTGTCTAGATTTTATGAATTGTGAGCAATATTAAGGTCTAGCATAAGTCAGCTCCAAGCATTACTCAGCTCCACGCTTATTTTAAACTTCTTCTTCTTCTACTTCGACTTTATCTTTGAAAATTCTCAAGCTTCAAAGTTTTGTCTATGCATCTATAAAATGCATTTGGCTTTAAAACTGCTTTTAAGTGCACTCACACACACACGTACGCAAGCAAACAGCACACGCATTCGTACACACAGACCATGTATACAGCTGCATTACCAATTCCAATCCCAATTCTCAATCTGCTGCCCGATTGGCGACATCAAAAGGCCGCAATAACCTGTTTTCCACACACACATGCATACCGACACACACGCACACACTCAGCCATACATACATATGTGTATATTCATAACCAAAAGTTCACTCACACACATAGGCACACACATACACACTTGCTCAGTTTTGTGTGCATTTCGTAGTCGCATTTGGAAAACAACCAGTTCGGCTATTAAGCATCCATTTAGGATACTAATTTGTGTATCATTACAAATTGTATCTACACACACATACACAAACATATATGCACACACACATGCACATGCACACATATGAGCTCCTAATATAACCCTCCCGAAAGTTACAGTTTGCAGTTAACCATTTTGTCGAGTTAACATTGCAAACTCGAAAACTCTCCCCATCTCGCTCAGTCAACTACGCTACAGTACGCTCTGAACTGTACGCTGCACTACTG